ACAAACAAACTCTCACTATTTCATGCAAATTGAGTGAGTGTTGGGTGCTACCGGGAGGACAGTACATGCTCATCCTTTTTCACTAACTCTTATTCATAGATTTTTCACATATAATTCACCGCTTTATTGCTTTCACGCCAAATATTTTGTTTGTTTGTTGTTTAACGCCGCACTCAGCAATGTCCCAGCTATATGACGGTCTGTAAATAATCAAGTCTGGACCAGACAATCCAGTGAGTGATATCAAGCGCATCGATCCAAGCAATTAGGATACGATGACATGCATGAACCAAGTCAGTGAGCCTGACCACCCGATCCCGTTGGTCGCCTTTTACGACAAGCATAGTCGCCCTTTACGACAATGGAATCTGTTTCGGCGAATAAGCGAGACTGGTTATTCTCCGGCGTTGACCTTTGTATAACCATGAATAATTAACTTCGATCTTCGACATCCTGTTGGAAGTCGCACTTTTCAGATAATTACAATGCCAAGACAAACTGCGGAGGTTCAAAACCGGTTCTCACGACCTGCATGTATGATCATGTTAATTCTGGTTCATGAATATTATGACTGGATAAATGTTTCATGTTACAAAGCGACGAAAAGGCTGGGTGTGGTTTGAAATGGCAATTCATTTAACAAGAGAAACCACATCTTCTTAAAAAGACATTATTCTCTGGACAAAGTGAAGTCTTTATATTAGTCATGGACATGTGACAGTCCCAATAGAAAATCAAATTCGTTTGTATCTAAAGCTTTGACACCAGATCATGTAACCGGATCCTTCAGTGAGTGTGCCTTTGAGATCCTATGACTTTAAAGTGCTATTTATTACATTACAAAGAGTTTTGAAATGCTTTCAAAAGCGACTGTCGTCAACTACAGCGATACATGCCACGCCGACAGCAACCGATCCACGGCAACAGCGTCTAGAACCACAGTGATATTAGCTTTTTGTGAATGAGCTTTTATATGTTGAGTGAGGTTTTTGTTTTTGCTACGCGTCCTTACAGTCTCCTCTTATATTGAATCTCAGTAAGTATCTGATTCCCCGATATTTGATGGACACCGGAACTTTGTCACTTGTTGTTCCAACACATGATATATATGTAATGGAGCATAGGAAGAATGGTCTTATACTTTGATAAGTTAAGCAAGAACTTTAGACATGGCAATTAACACATAATTTATGTGTCATAATCTCTAGGCTCCAACTAAAACAAAACACATAGCTCATAGGAGCTGAATACATTTTCCCCATTCAACTACTGCAGTGCCTGTCTTGATACAGAGCTCAGTGTCTTAGTGAATCATGATAGACTCACAATGGGAATTTTACTTTGTGAAAACCACCCTGACTAGATGTGTGCATTGTAGCGTACGTGACATACTCCTGGGGAATTACGGTGAAATAATTCATTCATTAAGACCTCTTCTTAATGACGAATACATACACATTCACTCGATAATTGATTCCTGTCAATGTATGTGACATATTCATTATCAAAGAAATATAGGTTGTGATATTTAAAGTTTAAATTTGTCATTCAAAGTCGGCATGGAGCGTTATTTGTACAGGTGCGTTGGCTATTTAAACTCAGTATGGAGCATTAGTCATTACCAACATAACATAAGGTGTGTTATATTCGTTCTAAAAGCCTATTGGGTGTAATTTTCCAAGTTTCTGCACATGAATCTACATTGCTTATACTTGTTATGCTGCATCATAAGAACATGTTGCCCTGTGCGTCTGCCGCCTAATACATAGAGGCAATCACCTGAGTGTGTTTGGGGATGGTTAATATCCTGCATTAGGAATAAACATTGTATTTAGCGAGCCTTGGCGAAAATATCCTGCATTAGGAATAAACATTGTATTTAGCGAGCTAAATACATAGTGTTTATTCCTAATACAGGATATTTACCATCCCCCAAAACACAAGCGTGATAACCTCTTTATCATATAATGTCATTCTTTAATTCTATGCTTAAAAATCGCTTTCCCTCTCTCACAAACATTACCGAAACATTGCGAGTTTTCCTGGAATGCGCGCATCAATATTTATTACGTCACAGGGTAAGTGATGTGTCAGTCGGACAGTGACAGTAGCCAATATAGTTCCAACTGAAATTTGTTTCTTATACAGTGGCGAAGCAACATATACGCAAAACAACTATAGTTTTTAATTGCCTTTCGCGGCAATCCATCGGTCTGTCCGCTAGAGTAACTGCCCTTTGTCAAAGGGAAGCTACTCTAACCCTAGTCTATGAGACGTCACGGCCACGGTCAGACGTTGTTGACAGTCGGCCTGTCCTGTCATAACGTTAAGAAGTGTAGTCAGATGTACACACAGCAACAAAACGAAACAAGGTAACAATTCAAACATATTTCGGCCAAATCCAACTATTTTAATTTGTGGAGAAGGTTTCAAGCCGAAGAGGTCTACAAGCACAGATATGGCTACTGATCCCGCTTGGCTAGGCCTCGTGCCCTGGCAAAATTGTTTCGAAATTTATATCTCCAAAGTTGCTAAAACTTATAAAATGCCTTAGCTTCGTCACAGTTAGACACTGATTTTCAGTATATTAAACTGTTCTTTTGATAATGATAGCAATTATTCCTGTAGTTTATCCAGATTCCCGATGACGAGGACGACGCCATGTTTGTTTATAAACAGTGAAAGTAGTCCCTACTTGACCTTTGATATTTGCATCTCTATCCGCATATGACCCAAACGGATATCGTTTTTAGCCGTTGGCCTTATCCTGCCGAGAAACCTACCCATTACATGATAAATTAATATATGCCACACACGTTAAAACCCCACAGTGATTAATTATTGATTATATTCCGTATAGTCATAGTGTTACATAAGGAGAAAAAATTTCCCGCGCGTCGGTTGCGATATTTGCCCCTCACATGAGACAACGTCCCTAAACGGTACCTTATGCAGTAGCCTTACATAACAGTCATGCCTTTGCACTGGGAGAGCGGTATTCTAATACATGCAATAGCATCCTAACGCCAATATTAACGAATTGCTCTGCTATATTTTTCAGCTATATATTCACTAAGAAGTAATTACAGTTACAGGCTGAGATTATATTATGATATCACTATGTCATGACGTCACAATGCAATACAGTTACAGATTATATCGATTCGTATGATTAATTTGTGAATTTCATTATATACTCAACAACATCAGTTCCTGTGACACCAATATTTTAGTGTATTTTTCAAACTAGTAAAGTTTGGTTTTCAATATTGTAGTACATGTATGGAATCAAGTCACAAAAACGCAACTGCTACAGAAAAGCATGCATTCCATGCAAAAGTTGACTTTTATGCAAGCCCCATGCATTTCACTACTCAAGAATTGGTATAAAAACATGTGCGTTAACGGGATTCCATATGCATTGTTTAAAAACAACATGACGCAATTATACAACATTACGAAATGCCACGCCTGTCCGAAAACGAGCGTCTGCGAGCCATTGGTATGCTTGAAGCAGGATCGAGTCAACGTGATGTTGCAAGACAATTTAACGTCCACAGAAACACCATTTGGTGTTTATGGCAACTTTGGAAACAGACGAATGCAGTCAGAGACCATCCTCGGAGTGGCAGGCCACGCGTAACCAATAATCGACAAGACAACTGGAATCGAACAACACCCCTAGGAAATTGTTTCCAGCCAGCAACAGTAACTGCAAGAAGCATCCCTGGCCTTCGACAAATATATTCACAAATCGTACGTCGCCGCCTCAGATGTACAGGGATTGTCGCCCCGCAAGACGTCACATTTTGACAGGAAACCACCGTCAAGCACGTCTACAGTGGTGCAGACAGCGTCTACGCTGGACGGCCATGCAGTGGGGACAAGTTCTATTCACCGACGAGTCTCGTTTTCACCTCAGCCACAGCGATGGACGGATTCGAGTGTACCGACGTCGAGGTGAACGTTACGTCAATCATTGTGTCATGGAAGAAGATCGGTTCGGGGGCGGCAGCGTTATGGTGTGGGGTGGGATAAAATAAAGTGGCCTGTGTTCTGAAAAGAAAGTTTGTCAGCTATATTTGTGATTGCGAGAATGCGTATGAAGAAAATGTATGACATTGTATATGTCCGTTCTAGTACCTAGTCAAACGGATTTTACAAACGTGCATGTATTTATTAGTTTAGGGTAGTGTGATACATTACCACGATGTCTAAAGAGACTGAATCAAACCACCGATGATCTCAATCGTCACCTCACTAACAGTACAGATAAGAAAATTAATGGCTTTAAATGTGTTAACATTGAATGATCTAGAACTATTCAGTATATATTTGTACATTTATAAAACATGTTACAGTACGAATTGTAAGGCTTAGAGCATAAAATCAGCTTTCGAAATACCTGCCTGCCCGACCGTCCGAGACGGGTTGATTTCAACTCGGGCTGCCAGATTTTCAAATCCCCCTGCCCGACGGTCGGGTTATATTTCATAGGTGAAAATATTCTAAATATTTCCCGATGATAAGCATTAATTCACATGTAAAGATGAATGATAAAATGTAACCAAAAAGAAACCCCGTTAGCTTTTAGACAACCTAACATTTAGCGATGCGCTTATGCTACAAGCAATCAGTTTTATTATTTTTAATTAAATTAGCCTGAGAAACATATGATTATAGTGGGCAGGCAGGTTTTGGTCAGGGCTGGCAAGTATTTCAGCTAGCCAGTCCTGTGGTCTGGCTGAAACTTTTGGGAATTTCATACCCTGATAAAATACTCTCCTTTACCGTTATTTGTTATGAAAATTTTGTCCCAGAATACGGCGTTCGCTTTTAAGTAATATTTATTCAGACAAAAATGTAAGGAATTGTTATAATTTGACTGGGATTTGTCTATTATTAGCCGCGCATTTCGTTTTGGCGTGCGGAAGCTTAAATACAGTATATTTGAACTACACGCGCGTGCACAACAGGCATACCTCTCGATAAACGTAGCGCTGAGGCCTGGGCCCACTTGCACGAAGCGATCTTAGCGCTAAGATAGGTTTGTGCAAGTGGGCCTAGGTCTGGGAAAGGGACGTAAACTGACGCGACCGCATATATGCCATGCTTGACAACAGCCGAGAGAAAAACCGCGGGGGTCCTCGGTGCATCGCCTACACTCATTACCGCGGCAGTGATCGTTATTGATAATCTACTGCTGAGGCCTGTATCTCGGTATATGGTCTCTGGATTAACAGAAGAGTTTCACCAAGAATTCCCCAACCCTAGACCTGCTTGCTCGGCACGTTCACAGACAATGCATTCCAGTATTCTTACAGCAGCAGCCTTGTCATTGATATATGTCGACTGGGCGGGTGCTTCTGCCGGAGACAGATCATGGATTTATCAGAAGTGTGTGAAAAACTGCAGCACAAGCAACTGTACGGACGTAGAGACGTTTCTCCAAAAACAACCATATCATCTTCAGTTGTTGCAGTGGAACTGTACCGATGAATGTCAATATGAGTGTATGTGGTCAACTGTTGAGGCTTTTAGACGTGATGGAAGTGGAGTTCCACAGTTCCATGGGAAGGTAAGGACGAACCAGTGCTGGATTTAGCTTAATAAAACATACACTAAGGCAAGATATTACGGAAAAATGCAACTCAATAGTTATGTCTACATGAACACAGTGCATGTCAAAATCTTTCACATTTGTGGCTAACCCTTTATGTGTCCACACAACATTGATGATTGTGGACGGCAGACATACCTCTAAGAAAGTTGCAGTTGACCCCTTTCCGTTAATTCTATATTTAAAATTGTCAATCAAAACTTGACGACCACCTCTCTGTGATTGAACATACCCAACCCTCTGAATACCTGCCATTATGAAGAATGATGCACTGATAACCGCTAGTACTTTTATACTATGAATACTAAGAACAATGTTTTGTTATTAAATTAACTTCGTTATCATTACCCGTATACAATGGTATGTGATCAAAGAAATAAAACCAATAATAGTTAATCCTATTGACTAAATACACAATAGGCAAAGAAGCCAGTTATCGACTTTTTTCACACTTTCGCCATCTTGGATCGCAAACAAGGCTTGGAGAGCATGTCAAGGAATCAGAATCGAAATGGCTTCCACCAATTTGAGCGCGAAGACTGTGGACCAAAAATTTAAACTGTGTCACGGTCATAAGACCCAGTTTTGTTGAAACTTGGGTCAACCAAATTGCAAAAGTCCCAGAAAAAGAGCCTATGGCAATTTTTGCAAAGATACGTATTTGATGTTGAAGGTAGGGCCTTGGTTGTGTCGGCAACCCGGAAGTGATTTTTCCGTTAAATATTAACTTATCAAGGTCCTCCAAAAACACACATCTTGCGGTTTTTATAATACATGTGACACCTAGTATTGTTGATGGGATAATCATTACATCGCATTGTTTAGTAAACAATAAACAACACTTTATTTGGCTGTGAAGTTGTTTCGATTTGTTTGCTTATTGATATGAGTCCAAATAAGAACAGCTTTTGAAATGAATAATCAGGTTTTTTTCATTGTTTATGTTCCACCTGAAGTATAAATATTTTCCAAAACAAAAAACGTGGTGAATAGCTTCGTACTGTAGTAGCAATGAAAAATCATTAAAAAATAGTGGGTGTTGTTTTGAACATTAAATGAGTAATAACAGTATGTGTAAAATTGAAATTTAAAGATAAAAAATATATGTTGCTGTGTTGATCTCTGTATGATTTGTATGACTTTCTCATATGTCACATAACTATTGTTAGCCTGAAGCAGATACCATATTTGTTGGTCTCTGGCTGAAATAATACTTTCTTCTGTTATGTGCATGCACCTATCAAAACATGAATTCCAACTCACATTTGTTGTAACCTCAAAGAAAACGTGTTGAACTTGTGAAAAAGCCCCTTCATTATCATAAGCCTAAGAACCAGCAGCAACTCCCCTTAAGTAAAGATTCGTTTCACAGTTTTCCATCAATTTTGTTTTTCACTGTACATAGTGTACCATTCATGTTCAGTGTTAAACATTACCAGGGAGCTCAGATAATGTTCTATCGCCCTCCACATTTGAGTAATACCGTATTCGACGTAATAAGCGCCCAGGGCGCTCTCAAAATTAGAAATAGGGGGCTCTTTTTAGAATATCATTTTGGTGGAGTTACAGGATAAATTTCGTTGTTTATGCTGACAGCCTGAAATGTTTATATACGACAGATATATTTTTCCAGAATTTAATTGCCCATAATTAAAGGTGCATATAACACACGAGTGCCTATTATACGCGAATAAATAAGTCTTGTGTACATTGATCAATCGGAAGGGGTGCTAATTGGGATTGTTCACTAGCTAATATATTAGCAAATATCGCCGTGGGCGCTTATTAGAGCGGGGCGCTTATTACGTCGAATACGGTATGTGTCCATATGATCTGCTGTGTGACCAATAAACATTCACATAAATCCAAAGAAGTATATGTGTAATAACTCACCATTTTATGGTAACATGAGTCAGACTAAAAGTAAACACATACAGGCAAATTAAATACAACAGAATGATATAAATTGTATACAAGGGTTTATTTTACAGACCTGTTGTAAATCAATTATACACATTGATATTTTCATGATTATAACAGGCAGGATATTCAATTATTTTTATCTCCTCAACCTGATGGAGCAGTTTGCAGAGCTCAAAGCTTCAAGTCAATAAAAAAGAATGAAACCCCTTATCACATGAAGGTGAATGAAACCGAAAGGAAATTGTGTTTTTGTACTCAGTCAATTGTTTCATATTTTCTCGCTAAGATACATTTAAAACAATTGTGGCTGTGAAAAAAAAGTACTTTTTGATGGAAAGATAAATAAAATTCTCATTTATTGAAAACCCACACCTTTGAATCAATAGTCTGAAGAACAATCAATTTAGTGAAGAAACCTTTAGTATGCTCATGGCTTAGAAAAGAAAACTGGGTTCCCTGCATAATTATTTTCAAGTCATGGTTATAATTGGACAAGGCCAATTAATCCTCGTAAGAAAAAACACTGAGCAGATATTTCCAGATAAAACAATAATAACAATAGACTACCAATGATATTTTTCTGATCTGGATCAATACAACCGATTCAACTCTCATTGAGCAGACTTCATGTAATTGTGAATCTGGCCAGGGCAAATGTAATCACGTAATTGGTTTACAGTATTTGTTACAACACTATCAATCCCTTGACTTAAAAACAGTGCCACCTGCATTGTCAAAAACATCGCTGCCACAGACATGGCATGTTCCACAAAGAAGTAAAGGCCTTTTTGTCATCTGCTGTCTCTACTCCATCTGCTGCCTCTACTACATCTTCTGCATCTACTACATCTGCTGCCTTTACTACATCTGCTGTCTCTACTACATCTGCTGCCTCTACTACATCTTCTGCATCTACTACATCTGCTGCCTTTACTGCATCTGCTGTCTCTACTACATCTGCTGCCTCTACTACATCTTCTGCATCTACTACATCTGCTGTCTCTACTACATCTACTGCCTTTACTACATCTGCTGTCTCTACTACATCTGCTGCCTCCACTACATCTGCTGCCTCCACTACATCTGCTGCCTCCGCTACATCTGCTGCCTCCACTACATCTGCTGCCTCTACTCCATCTGCTGCCTCCACTACATCTGCTGCCTCTACTACATCTGCTGCCTCTACTACATCTGCTGCCTCCACTACATCTGCTGTCTCCACTACATCTGCTGCCTCTACTACATATGCTGCCTCTACTACATCTGCTGCCTCTACTCCATCTGCTGCCTCCACTACATCTGCTGTCTCCACTACATCTGCTGCCTCCACTACATCTGCTGCCTCCACTACATCTGCTGCCTCTACTACATCTGCTGTCTCTACTTCATCTGCTGTCTCTACTACATCTGCTGCCTCTACTACATCTGCTGCCTCAACTACATCTGCTGTCTCTACTCCATCTGCTGCCTAAACTACATCTGCTGCCTCCACTACATCTGCTGCCTTTACTCCATCTGCTGCCTCAACTACATCTGCTGCCTCCACTACATCTTCTGCATCTACTACATCTGCTGCCTCTACTACATCTGCTGCCTCTACTACATCTGCTGTCTCTACTACATCTGCTGCTGTCTCTACTACATCTGCTGCCTCTACTACATCTGCTGCCTCCACTACATCTGCTGCCTCTACTACATCTGCTGCCTTTACTCCATCTGCTGTCTCTACTACATCTGCTGCCTCTACTCCATCTGCTGCCTCCACTACATCTGCTGCCTCCACTACATCTTCTGCATCTACTACATCTGCTGCCTCTACTCAATCTGCTGCCTCAAATACATCTGCTGCCTCCACTACATCTGCTGCCTCTACTACATCTGCTGCCTCCACTACGTCTGCTGCCTCTACTCAATCTGCTGCCTCAAATACATCTGCTGCCTCAAATACATCTGCTGCCTCTACTACATCTGCTGTCTCTACTACATCTGCTGCCTTTACTCCATCTGCTGCCTCAACTACATCTGCTGCCTCCACTACATCTTCTGCATCTACTACATCTGCTGCCTCCACTACATCTGCTGCCTCAAATACATCTGCTGCCTCCACTACATCTGCTGCCTCTACTACATCTGCTGCCTCCACTACGTCTGCTGCCTCTACTCAATCTGCTGCCTCAAATACATCTGCTGCCTCCACTACATCTGCTGCCTCCACTACATCTGCTGTCTCTACTACATCTGCTGCCTCTACTACATCTGCTGCCTCTACTACAACTGCTGCCTCTACTCCATCTGCTGCCTCAAATACATCTGCTGCCTCCACTACATCTGCTTTCTCTACTCCATCTGCTGCCTCTACTACATCTGCTGCCTCCACTACATCTGCTGCCTCAACTACATCTGCTGCAACCACTACATCTGCTGCCTCCACTACATCTGCTGTCTCAACTACATCTGCTGTCTCTACTCCATCTGCTGCCTCTACTACATCTGCTGCCTCTACTACATCTGCTGCCTCTACTAACACTTCCTCTGCTTCTCCTACACTTACTCACTCATCATCTTCCAATGCGTAACCTGTCCCTTTAAAAAAGAGACGCCTTGATGGTTTGAGGTCTACTCTATACAATACCTTGCCCAAAGACATCAACCATAATGAATTTTCTTCCACTCTAAAAAAACATTTGTGGACAAAATCCTAAGGCTAATCAGTTCTCATCAATCATTCCGAATATGAATGATATAGTTCTTGTACCATCTGCTTTTGGTCGAGTTCCCAAAGGTTCAACCATTTCACTTCAACAGCCTCCTATATCAAACATAAACAAAAGTGATATCATAAACCATTCATACCTCTTTCCCCCACCTTTTGTAACCTGATATTTAAAGCAAACTAAATGGTCCACTTAGCAATTGGGTGCATTTTGGACTCAACTCACACAAAGAAATGTAATAAGTCAATGACAAAAGTCAAGTCAAATAAACAAAGATGGCGGATGCAGTAAAATTTCGAAGTTAAATCAGTACTTTTAAAACATTGGACATAGCTTCCGCGCACCTGGCTACCCGCCAGGTCTGGGAGCCATACTGCCATTATTATAATAATAATATATTTATACATTATTATCATAATAATACATTTACAGTGTCACACACTGGACAGTACATGCACTTGAATAGAAATGAATGATTAAATAAAATATTAATGTCATGACAAATTATGATTACAACTATTTTAGTGAACTGTATATTATATGTAATAATTGATATGATAATAAGAGATAGTCACATGGGCGGATACAGCTTTTTTGAAAAGGGGGGTGCACAATTAAGATCTATTTATTGTCTTTGGTGGTAATTTATACAGAAATAAAGATTGTTTTCGAAATAAAAAGGGGGGGGGGGGGGGGAGTCAAATCAATACCTTCTATCCTGGACCTTGTTGGTTGGTTTACTCTTGGTGGCACTGTTCCATGTAAAAATACATGGAACAGCTCCTCGAACAAGCCTCTTTTTGTGCCCTCCCAGACCTCTTTTAATTTCACATTGCTTGAAGTGGTTAGAGCATACAAAAGGGATATTGCGACCAATCTGAAACAAAAAAATTAACATCAATAAACATATTTAACAATGTTATTAAGTTTCTATTATTCAAAATAGTGAAGCTGTAAAAAAACATATATGTAGATAACCATTATTACAAAATCTATGGTCATAAAATTTTTAAAGTAGCATACATAAGGTAGAAGTTGCCTATATATTACCCTAATGTATGAACATTTTCAGTACAAGGATTACTGAAAATAAACCTGACTTGCAGGACAGCAAAATGACCATAACCATAACATTTCATTAACCTGTAGTATCCTTTAATCAAAATAATATTTATATTTTGTTTCAGGCAGCCAAAGAGACAGACATGCTTAGTCAATATAGATCTATAGGCCTAGGGCCCAAACCACAAATATTTATTACATAACTATTTCTCAAGTATAAGGTCGCCTATTGTGTCAGTGTTACTTACTGGCATTGCATTCAAGTAAATCTTTCCCCAGATTATCAACATTTAAATAAATAATACATTTTTTACATAACATTAGGTTTGCCGACTGTTTATGTCAACCCATTCACTGATCGTGTGATGAAGTTGTCAAGAGCTCATCGGTCAGATGACGAATGGCTCGAAATATGGAAGTCAATTTTGAAATAACATGTAAACAATTATTATTTTACCTAAAACACGATGTTCTTGTCATTTTTTTGTGGTATCATTGTATGCAACAAATTAGTCGGACTTCTTGTGAACATTTTTCGTGATTCGACACATGTACCACTACAGACAGGCTGCTTACCTGGAAGGAGTTGCTCACATCTCGACATATGGCTGCAATCCATATCCTCCTGAGATGTTTGTCTTTAGGAAAATTGAAAAAAGACAAATCCGAAGAAACTGCTTTTCTCCGATCGCTCGTACAGAATGGGACCAAGCATTGAGCAGTGAGCCATTACTTCCTGTGTGTTGACACTACCTGTATAAGCAGCGATGCTCTCCAAGCCTCGCTTTCAAACCGGAAGTACCGAAGTGTGAAAAAGGTCAATATACAATCCTTATGAACATGAGAAAAGGATTAATTAATTGTGAGATAGTTACATTTACCAACTTCACAGAAGAAGCCTGTGTGAAATAACAAGAGCTAATTAGCTCAAACCAAACCATTTTTGTCAATAGGGGTGTAGGTTGTTTAAAATAATCTGTGGTAGGCCAAATGGGAAAGGTCATTTCTGTTTCTTTAGGCCATATGGGACGTAGGCCAATAGGGGATGCACCGATATTTCTAAGCTTTGTTTACAATACTGCTCAAACACTCACAGTGTTATGTTTAATTTGTCATGCTTTTGATGTCTTCAATCTGTGGGTACTACAAGATAATGTGCATGTGTTTCAACTTTGATAAGTTGATGAGACCTGGGTGCAACCTGTTTTTTCTGGGGCAACTTGGTTTTCATGTCAACATGTTTGTTGGTTTGTTTTTGTTTTACGCCGCACTCAGCAATATTCCAGCTATATGATGGCGGTCTGTATATAATCGAGTCTGGACCAGACAATCCAGCTCATCACGCCGAAGACCCATGTTCGATTCCCGACATAGGTATAATGTGTGAAGCCCATTTATGGTGTCCCCCGCTGTGATATTGCTTGAATATTGCTAAAAGCGGTGTAAAACCATTCTCACTCACTCACTCACTCACCCATGTTTACTTTGCCTCTCCATGTCAGAGCTACAGATAAGCTGCGTATTTGCGTAAAATACCCCTAAAAATATTCAAAACTAATTACTTTCAATTAACTTGCGTACGGAAACGCATGTATTTTATGAAAAACTCAAATGTATAAAAACAGCAGGCGTAAATACCCAATGAAGCTAATTTCCGAAACACAATTACGAGCTTATTTACTTTCCAAGTCAAGCCTATATTTAGAACCGTTATATACATTTAAAACATTATTTCATTTCTTTAAATGTTTACTCATTTTGGGAAAATCACAAAAGAGTGATGAATAGATGAGTAACAAAATATTGGTTACCAAATTAAAAATGTAATACACCAATTAAAATAGAAACCATCGAGTAAAACCTCAATTGCTCAAAAAGTTATCTGGAGCTCTGCCACAGGTAGTCTCATTTATCCATACTACCAGGTACCCATCTTACAATCTGAAGTCTGGATTATTGAATGAAGAAGTTGCATTTGAAAAGTACAAATATATATATATAATTTGGGCCCCAATATGTGTTGCAATATGAGGGTTTTATCTTGACCTTCAAAACTAGGGGTCCAGAGGCCCCCCAATTACTAATTTCTAGGGTCCTAACAGGAAATATGAGGGTCCTGTAAATAAATGAAATGGTGTTCTTTACTGTACTATAAGATCTAATAATTACTTTAATTACAGGAAGTAAATATTTCTTGTCAAGAATTTGGTACAATGAACATTATTGTAATCCCTTGGGATGCAAAAATATTTTTTTCTACGTCCATTCTATACATTTGTGCGTAATGGACGCACATTTCTGTGCCAGGTAAACCCTACGATATGTAATATGCAATACAACACTCTGTGCATATATCTTATAATATCTGACAACTAATATTACGATCGATGCTCATGTTGTCAATCACTGGATTGTCTGGTCCAGACTCGATTATTTACAGACTGCCGTCATTTAGCTGGAATATGGCTGAGTGTGGCATTAAACAACAACAAACAACAACAACAACAGAGGTGTTGGAATCACTTGTGCTCTGTGTAGATATACCCTTTTTATGCCCCCAGCATAGAACATGTATAATGTCCGTCTGTCCTTCCATCTGTCCGTCTTATTTCCAGAGCATAACTTGAAAACCTTGCAAGATTTTCATCCAAACTTTGTACATGTACATGTATTAACCAGAGGCTGATTTTGTTGGGATGTCTTCAACTTGTCTAAATAGTTTGAATTATAAATAAATAAAGAAATCATATTTCACACAAAGACATACAGGATAACATAGGGTTTTTACAGTCAAATTTTAATCTTTCTTTTCCAAGTGGCCGTTTGTCCGCTTCTTTGGGGTACAGGAGCCTGCATCCACTCTGTTCTCCATCCTTAATGCCTTGTCCCATCTGGGGCTGATCTGGTTTTGGTCGAAGGTGTCCAAGCCCTGCCCTCTCTACTACGTCTGGCACGGGGCGGCTATGGTAGGTTAACATTTCACTCACCAACATACCCGTGAAGATCCGGGTTAGAATAGGTTTTCACCAATCCATGCTTGCCGTAAAAGTGACAATGCTTGTCGGGATAGGGTGGTCAGACTCACTGACTTGGTTGATGCATGTCATCATATCCAAATTGCGTTGGTCGATGCTAATGATGGCAATCACTGGATTGTATGGTCTTGACTCACTTATTTACAGACCGCTGTCATATAGCTGGAATGTTTCTGAGTGCGGCGTTTATCAACAAACAAAATAAAAAACAAACAAACGTGATGAAGAACTCCACCTCGCCCTACTGAACATGCTAAACATTCATGCTTTATGTACATGATGTACGTCACATCCATCGACAGTTGATGTTCACAGATGTCTTGCACAAAGAATCAAGACTTGTTTGTTTGTTTGTTGTTTTACGCTGCACTCGGCAATATTCTAGCTATATGACGGCAGTCTGTAAATAATCGAGTCTGGACCAGACAATCCAGTGATTGATATCATGAGCATCGATCCACAAAATTGAGATTCGATGACACTCACCAACCAAGTCAGCGAGACTGACCACCCGATCCCATTAGTCGCCTCTTACAACAAGCAGAGTCGCCTTTTACGGCAAGCATGGGTTGCTGAAGACCTATTCTACCTCGGATCTTCACGGGTCGGATAGTTGATGTACACAGATGTCTTGCACAAAGAATCAGATGTCAAGTTTTTAAAAATGTGTATAAAATTAAAGAATTGATTTATTGTTTACAGGTTGGGATTAATGCTTGGACGTGGTCCACTGTCTTCCATACAAGAGAAACCGACTTTACCGAGGTAAGGAACACTTTGGCCAAAACCACCTACCGCTGTTTCAGGGAGCATGGACCAATCAGAGGGGCCTGTAGGCAGGGTTTAGGGTTGTTGGTTTGTTTTTGTAAAATAATGTTTGACACTGATGGCATTTTCAGAAATGTTATTAGTTGCAATTTTCCTTTCATATTAAGATCAGAATAGTAACAGCAATTATAACATGTGGAAACATTCAATGTTTTATCAGAATGAAAATGTGGGATTCTTGACGTCTGTTTCCATAGAACTTTTGGATAGCAAGTGGAACAATGGGTCGGTCAGGTTACCTGAAACACAAGAATGTTTTGGGGGAGAGGCGCTCTGGTCAATAACATACATGTAGCTTCATATGTGTAACCGCTGGTACATATTATCACCATCATAAGTTAAATATAACAAATTCAAAATGTGTTGGTAATCGATCTTATTAAAATCAGATCTTTTTCTCAAATATGATACCTCCTCATTGGTTCAGTTTGGGACACCTCAACCAGGAGCAAATTTTCACCTTCAAAAAAAAAAATTGTGTAGATTCTTTATCCAATCAGACATTCGCTTTCTAAAATGATTCAGCTCTTGCTGGCTTCATTTACATTTGCCTTGATTAAAAAATAATGATTTGTACAGATGGAAACCCACACAGACCACAAATGTTCCCTCGATGGTACTCCATTTTGGGTGTAGAAGCTATGGTGCTCTGAAAGACCGGGTGTGTGAAAATATCTACAAAAATATAATAGCACAGACTTACTTATCTGCATTTGGAACTTGTGGTTTTAGTTTGTTTTTTAGAGATACAGAACTCAGTTATGCTTGTCTGAGAGCTTCACTCCCTACCGAGACTTTAGTTCTTGATGCTGATTGGTGTCCTCAGATCTACAAGCAGAGCAGTATCGTATCAGAGTAAAAGACCTGAGATTGTTTAGGAATGAATTGGAATAAATTACTCACGAGTGGAATGCTGCTTAAAGTTGGTTGGTTGGTTGTTTAACGCCGCACTCAGCAATATTCCAGCTATATGACAGCGGTCTGTAAATAATCGAATCTGGACCAGACAATCCAGTGATTAATATCATGAGCATCGTTGCATGCAACTGGGATCGATGACATGCATCAACCAAGTCAGCGAGCCTGACCACTTGATCCCGTTAGTCGCCTCTTACGACAAGAATAGTCGCCTTTTACGGCAAGCATGGGTTGCTGAAGATCTATTCTACCCCGGATCTTCACGGGTCTGCTGCTTAAAGGATAACGAAATGAACATTCACAATTATATCATGACAATTTAACAATCAGCCATTCATGATTAAAATTAAAAATCCATGGGAATTAATGTGTATGTCCCTTGTAAGCCTGAATGGAGAGGAGAGCTGTTGTCTTTGGGGAATAACATTTCCATGATGAAATTCACATACTTTTCTTGAAGACAGTGTTTTACATCTTCATATGTAACCATGGAAACTGACATACACATGACAAAGATGGTCTCTGTTTCAGAAAATGTACTATTTCTTTGGTTTTTCCATCGTGCTTTACAATGTGTTTATCTTCAGCTGCAGGTGAGTACAGAGAAGAATTGTAAGTGTTCATTATGTTGATTGGTTAGTTGGTTTGTTGTTTTACGCCCCACTCAGCAATATTCCAGCTATATGACGGCGATCAGTAGATATCGAGTATGGACCATCATGAACCATGATCCACGCAATTGGGATCGATGACATGCATCAACCAAGTCAGCATTATCCCGTTATCCCGTTAGTCGCCTCTTACGACAAGCATAATCGCCTTTTACGGCAAGCATGGGTTGCTGAAGACCTATTCTAACCCGGATCTTCACGGGTCTCATTCAGTTGAAACTAATGATAGAGATGATGAAAAGAAAACATGTCAAGATTCTAGTAATACTTTGTTTTTGAGTGAGTGAGTGAGTATGGTTTTACGCCGCTTTGAGTAATATTCCAGCAATATCACAGCGGGGACACCAGAAATGGGCTTCACCCATTGTACCGATGTCGGGAATTGAACCCGGGTCTTCGGCGACCGAATGCTTTAAACCACTAGGCTACCCAACCGCCCCCTTTGTTGATGAACACAACATGACTGCAGTGACAATTTAGTGGTGATGACATTGATGGCTTACAGTCATAATATAGTGATGTAATTATGATGGTGGTGATAATGATGATGTTTATGATAATGATGATGTTTATGATAATGATGATGTTTATGATGGTGATGACGACTATGATAATGATGATGATGATGACTTTGATGGATGGGGATATAGATGGCAATGATTATAATTATTATTGTGATGACTGACTGACGATGTTGATAAGTTGATGGTGATGTTGCTTTTGAATGTGTCTAGGATTCTGGGGACGAAAATAAGATGGCGTCAGTGCCTGGTGGGTGTGATCCTTCTCGTGATCTACGCACAACACATCCACTATCTCACTTTCATAAAGTTTGACTACGGTTATAACATGAAGATGAATTTACTCTTTGGTGAGTTTGAAGTTTTCTTCTCTGCCAAAATATTTCTGACGTTAATGGAGGTTATGGCATGGTGTGTTATCCCCGTCGGCTGTTCATGATCCGTTAATTTAGGATTCTACATCTTAATTTTGGCTGTAAGAATGAAAGTTTCAGAGAATGTCCAGCACTATTGGACTCAAATTTTAAAACAGTTTTAAAATGAAAATTTTACATGAAGTTTTTTATGGTCGTGGAATCACGAGCATTGATTTTATGTGTAGCAGCATCATGGGATGTCCCTCCTAACGACCAATCACATCAGTAAAATAACATAGAGCAACCAATGAAGCAATTAATGTGAACAAGCCCATAGACCACAAGGTGAGAATGATAATGCTCAGTGAAAAGTATGAACAGTAATGAGGCTCATATCCTTGGCCTCATCGGTATGAACACTTTCAAAGAAACAAATTTCTTGCAGGCATGGTGAATATGGTCGGATGGTTGATCTGGTGCGGCGTGAAGTACAAGAAACAACGCTATGTGTGGAAGTGTGCTGCTGTTGTTTTAGGAATCAATGCGTTGTTGTTGCTGGAGGTGTTTGACTTTCCGCCATTCTGGTGGGCGCTGGATGCACATGCACTGTGGCATGCTGGGACGGCTTACCTCGGGTTGCTGTGGTACAGGTGAGTTCATCCCTTTGAACTGCCTCCGTGTTCTTGTGGTAGATATAATGTTGGACGCAACATTAAACCCAATTTCACCACACCTCATCCCTCCGAATTACGCTGCCGTAGTTCCTGTTGTTGCGGTCACAGTACATACTGACTAATTTCGTTTTATAATTCTCCTTTGAATCGTATGTTTTACATGTGAAGGATATGTCTATATCATGTTAATTACAAACATCTGGAGACAAGATACATAATCTTTATGCATTTGTTTATGATTTATGCTGGACATTAACATATTCATTTGAGAAACAATTAATGTCATTAAAATCAGATCTTAGTTCTCGTTACCGCCAAAGAAATGTCATTAAAATCAGATCTTAGTTCCGTTACCGCTAAAAACATGTCATTAAAATCAGATCTTAATTCTCGTTACTGCTAAGCAAATGTCATTAAAATCAGATCTTAGTCCCGTTACCGATAAAAAATTGTAATTAAAATCAGATCTTAGTTCCGTTACCGCTAAACAAATGTCATTAAAACCAGATCTTAGTTCTCTCTACTTTTATGGGGAGGAGGATGTTTTTAAGATAAATTGGCTAATGTCGACTTCTGGTAAGTCATTGGTCAGTCAAAGTTCGCTTCAGGTTGTTGTGATGTAATGGAATATAATGTTATACTGTTATAATGGAATGTCCTGAGATCTTTGTTGAGCAGAAGCAAATGGTGCCTGTTTCGTGAGAATTGGTGTTAGCTTTATAGTCCTTTGTTTCAGTTTTATCATAGACGATTCCCTGTATCTGAAGCAGTGGGAAGAAGACATGGCACTCAAATTGGATTAACAACAACAACAACAACAGCAACAACAACAACTACAGATAGCATCATCATCAACAACACAAAGGAGTTGATGAACAAGGGAGAAGGTTCTATGGATGTACAGCTTCTTTATAACAATGACTGCCACATTTTGGTGTAGATACTAGCACTGTTGTCAATTGACTTATCTCCCTTGATCATCATACCTACTTCTAAATCATTCGTCACCACTCGCCCCTTTTAGTAACCTGCAAGAAGACTCGTCCCTATGGATGAATGTTATGTGTGAAAATAAGACAAACCAATCAGAATGCGTGTATGATTTTAAGTTCTTCGTCAAAGAATCCCTCAGAAATAATTTTTGATTTTACATGTCTTGCATCTAAAAATATACCTAAGACACAGTCAAATGTGTTCAATCATACTGTATAATTACGCATGCCCCGATATGCTTTAAATTGCATATGCAATATATATAATATATGGGGAAATATATGTGAACCAATGAGTAGACAGTTGTTTTAGGTACGTCCGTTTGCACTAAGACAGCCAAAATGGCCATGAGATGGGCATGAGTCGCTATTTGGCTTGTCCCGGAATAACACGAGTTGGTCATGAATGCTTCTAAATGCCACTTGAAGACCTTAAGGTAGTTGATGCACTGAAATATTTTTATCAAGGCACCTTACATTTGTGACTGGTATATGAATGTGTCGCACCTCTCCAACATGGAGTGGTTCACTTTAGCTGCTGATACTGAGCCCAGACTTTTACAAATCCACTGACTCCCCAAAATTGAAAGGTTGGAAAATAAAAAAAAATAAAAAGTGCACTGGGTATATATTTTGCCAACAAGAAAAAAGTAAAATAATGATTAGCCATTTACAGCCACTATCAAAAGAAATAAATTATTTCAGATACTGTAATGAAACCTGTTGAAAGTTTATCTTAAAAACATTCCCAGTCCCCCGTCCCCCCCCCATTGGCTTACAACGGTTGTAGCGCTGAGGTTGTTTTGTACAACGGCACCATAGATTATAATCAGATCAAAGAAATTGTATTCCCGTCAGCAAGGATTATTGAAAAATTTAATGCATTTTTTTTAGATTACCATTTTATAGCTTTTTTTGTGATCATCACTAATCTAAGGGAGAGAATTTATGGATGTCAACTTCTTTGTTATGAGGAACACAACGTTTCAGAGTATATACTTACTCCTTCATCAGTGGACATCCATAAGTTCCTTATGTGTAACACTTCTAAATGCCTTTCAAAGACTTGATCACTAATCTAACGCAATATTTTGAGGAAGCATTATTGATGTTGCCATGCCTTTTTAGAAAGCATTTTCCACAAAACAATCATTCATACACAGTAAAATATCCCTGGCTCGATTCCTACTCGATTTCCTGGCTTCACATCCCAAATAACATGTCACAACCAATCAGAGCGCTGCACACCCACCCACCATGTTGCAATGCATACTCATATTACTTTCAGGAATTCCAAGCTGAGTAACTTGATAGCCAAACTGGGAAAAAACATTTTGTTCAAATTGTTAAAGTTGTCAATTTCTTAAATTCAGATTAAACTTATTGAATTCGATGCAGTAATGTGAAACTGAGAATTAATACTTAGCCTTTATTGGTCCTGCCATAGTGAAATACAAGACACCTCTCCAACATTAGTTACATCATCTTCCAGAGGCAAGGGAGTTAACTGACTGTAAAAAGTTCAGTTCCAACCTTGCCGAACTAGGCTGGAATTTCTGGGCTCAATCGTAGCACCACCAATTATGAGGAGTTACGTCCGTTCTATGTCCCTTCTATTGACCAATCAGATTCCACCTCTCTTATCACTTGCATTTGCTTCAAACAAGACCAGGCAACCAGTCAAGACAATTTGATCGATAATCAAGATCTATATTGTCATAAAATGGGTCATACTTTGCAAAGTGTATCAAATCATGTGAGCACCTTGATTATAAACATGAAAAGATTTGGAAAGTATCTTTTCACGCCGAATTGATGGTACACATGCTTTGCAATCGATCGAAATCTGCACGGCAGTTTACTAACCACATGCCGATTTCATGACACGATTTTGATTGGTCTATACCTGGACTCGTCAGTCCAGCCAAACCGTAACTCCATAATACCAGCGTAGTTCGGCAAGGATGGAATCTTGACTTTTATAGTCAGTTAACTCCCTTGCCTCGGGAAGATGTAATTACAAGTAAATAATGTGAATTGGGACATGTTTTATTCCACTATTGTCATTTTCACTGATATTAGCTGAATGCATTGGGCCATACATGGACCTTGGAGCAGGTCTAGATAAGTTCCCGACTGTTTTCTTGTGATTTCTGCTGCTGATGTTATATTGTAGCGTGACTTTGATATGTGATGTACGTTTATGGTCTGTATGGGGGATGACTGTATTCAAATTGTGTGTATCGTGATGCTAGTGTAATATATTGTATTGGTCATGTTTGAAAATGTTGAAGTGAATGCCAGTTAAGGATTTAATACATTGAATGGAAGTATTGAAACCATTGTATTCAGTTACTGGAATTGGGATATCACAGTTCATGGTATACATGTGTTTTGTAAACTATATCCTCGAAGTATATCTCAGATTGGTCAGGAATTTTCTTACATCAGGCCTTAGTGCATAAACAGAGGCAGTCATGGATGAAAACGTGTCCAGGTTTCCTGTCATATTTCATAAACAGAGATGGGGGCACGGGTGTCGTGATTTGCTGTGCAGAGTTGCGTCCCTTGGGCACGCTAGAAACCTATGAGTGTGGGTAAGAATCCCGGTTCGCCCCTATTATGTTTCTAGGTTTGTCAGCACCATACCCGTGCTCGTGGGTTTCACCGAAGTCGTAAACGTCTCAGACCTGCATCACTTCGGGCCTTCCTCCCACAATAAACTGACACGCCGTGATATAACTGGAATAATGTTAAAAATGGCGTTAAACCCAACTCCCTCACTCGCTCACTAAACAGAGAGGGGGGTGAGGATTTGGAAAACAGTGTGTCCACAAGACCAGTCACAGGACACACTGACATCGCTGTGTCTCATACCTGGATTGGTGCCCCTGTGAAGATCTGAATGACACTTCATCTTACAGCAACCCATGCTCGGCAGCGGTGTCCTCCCATTAGTTAGACGTCCCAATAGTTAGACAGCTTATAACAACACTTTAAACGGTTGAGTGCACACTAATCCTTATGCTTGTTACCTCAGACTTTAAAATGGAATAGTCCAGATAAGATCTGACAAACAAAGCAAAGCAGCTTTAAATAGATACTTTAATATTATACTTAACATTTAATGACACTTTACATTTGATAAATTTTATACAGTTTGTAACAACACTTTGTGCCAGTTTTTGGTAATGTACACTTTACATTGAATAACTTTTACAGTTTATTTATCCCAGACGGAGCAAGTGTGCTAGGTGACAGAGGTCTGTTGAGTCGCTCTTGAACTTCTGTCTTCAGTTGTCGAAAAAGTCGGCCATAGGTTGTTGCTTGGCGATCTGGCAAATGGGCGAACACTAGAGGGAAGGTGTTGGGGCCAACTCTGGCATGAATGATGTATACTTGATCCCATAAACCTGGACATGCTGTGAAGGTACCATCCATGTAAAGGGTGTCAGCTTCCTGGAGGGCTTGTATCTGTTCTGCAGTGGAGAAAGCCAGGATCTTGTCATCGTCGCCGTCGCTGAACAGCAGAAAGGGACGTCCATCTGTTGTCTCTGACCATTTGTCTTCAATGTCTACTGCTGACCGCGACCTGGGTAACGCTGGAATGTAACGCCTGAACAAGAGCAAATGAACAGTTACACATATGTTACATGATATATTGATAATGATTTGATTAACTTGAAATGTTTAAGAGCAAAACAAGTTATGTGGGACCTAAAAAAAAAGTAAATTCTAACCAAGTCAAAATTACGGGATGATATTTACCTGTAAAGTGCACTTTTCACGCTCTGAAATGATGGCATCGCTGGCATGTTGGCTTCATCTACTTGAGTGACTTGCTCCTCGTACAATGCCTGCATCTGTGTGGTTACTTCTCGCGCTCTTTTACGAAGATCGCTGACAAAGTTCACTCTGGTTTCATCTTCAGGCGGATGGTTATGTTCCGACTGATTGCAAAGAAAGTCACCGACAGTTGTACATTTCCCATTGCACGTCTTGACGACACATCTCCAATGTGTGCAGGTTTGCCTCTCGCGGTTTCTGTTGTAAATATATCCATCTAATATCAACTGCTCACTTCCACGCCGAATGAGTAGATAATCTAAACTCAACTCCTTCAACTGATCATACAGTAAGACAATTAAGCTACTCCATAGTTTACATAGTTAATCTCATGCCTATTGAACCTGTGCTGAGAGTAAGGTAATTTAAGTTAATAAAACGAAATTGTAACATATATACTCCCTAAACTGAGTCCCCTATCCCTACTCAGTACTTTAATCTTATTAGGACTGATCCATTACACCTGTAGGTATATTCCCTCTTTGCCTTATTACAAATGTCTAACAATTGGGACGTCTAACTAATGGGATATAACCTCGGCAGCATAGGCAACTAATGGGATCGTCATATAGCTGGATTAGTGCTGAGTGCGACTTTAAGCTAAGAAAATCAAACTGGATTGACTGATGGATGCTCAAATTGATGAATGGTGTAAGTGTGAATTGTGATAAATCTATGCCACAAAGTATTAAGGAACAAAACTGATCATTTCTCCTTATAATTATTATTCTGTAATATTGACAAATCTAAAGAACTTGTAGAAAAGATAGTTTGATTATGTTCTGTCGTGAGGTGAAGTGAATTAGGGTTTAACATCCTGTTCAAGATTACTGCACTGATATAGTGACAAGCATGCACGTGTGTGTGGCTGCTTGAACTAGTCTGTACTTAAGCCGGTTTTATAGTGCTAGCCCACTGAGATACCATGCTACAGTTTTAACATCAGTACTCCGCTCACAGTATCCCGACTCTGAGCTGACCAGTCCTTGTTTCATCTCTTAATACCAATGCCAGGCAGGGTAACAACAAGTACCATCTTTAAACATCTTTTTGTATGACGCGGCGTGGGATCGAACCACCGACCTTTGGCTCTCTGGGCAGACTCTCTATCCTCAAGGCCACGGAGGCATCTATTCTGTAGTTACATGGTGATGGTCTTGTTTCATGTTAATAGAGTTTGTGCTATGCACTTGTACACCACCGATGTGTCTTATGATAATTATCATTGTGTATGTGAAACATTTGTATCTGTTGAGGTGTGAAATCAAGACTTGATGTTAATGTTAAGATGGCCTTGTGTGCAGAATCTAGTGTCTAGTCTCGTGCTACACATCTCTGTCACTGCCTGTTTCTGGGGAGAAATTAGCTTTTGCTGAATTGAACAACAGCAAACTCTTCCTGTCAAATGTAAAACCTGCAAAATAATTCTGTGCCTAACTATGCCTTCTTGACCAGCAGGGAGAATTCCATATTGGAAATGGATTCACTAGTGTGGGCGAGCTCTGTTCTTATTGTTTTGGCTTGCAGATGTTTTGAGCCAATCATTCACGTCGGGAGGTGGTTTTGAGCAGACTCATTAAAATCAGATCTTAGTTCTCGCTTCTGTTATAGTTTAGTAGTAGCGAGAACTAAGATCTGAATTTAATGAGTTTTCACTTTGGAGAAACTTTTGATAATACTAATGATAATGCTAATGATACTACTACTACTACTACTACTAATAATATTTGATTGTGGCCATAGATGGGTGTAATTATTGTTTCTATTGTTTCATAATGATTATGTGTTATGTGTCATTGTGCATATCTTGAACGTATGAAGATTCTTGAAGAGAAATATGTTTCTATGTTCATACTTTTGCAATAAATTTTTGAATGCTTTTTTCAAATTTTTCATTTTTATGAGAATAGCCGAGGTTATTCTGTTCACTTTTTCATACATCCATTTTATTCATGACCGTTTCATTCAGACTGGGACAAGAAGTTGCAGATTAACTTAGGTATGTGAGTGAGTGAGTTGGGTTTAACTTCGCTATTAACATTATTCCAGTTATGTCACCGCGTGTCAGCTTAATGTGGGAGGAAAGCCAGAAGTGATGCAGGTCTTGGACATTTACCACATCGGTGAAACCCACGAGCACAGGAATGGTGCTGACAAACCTAGAAACATAACTGGGGCGAACCAGGATTCAAACCCACAATCATCGGTTTCTGGCGTGCCCAAGGGACGCAACTCTGCACAGTGAATCGACTAGGCCAAGACCGTGGCGACCTGTGTGCCCCCCCCCCCCCAATCTGACTATGACGAGACGAGTAACATCATTGATAAATGGAGGCTGTGTAATACAATAAACAAAATTCAGTTTTATCGAAAGTTTATTTTACACGTACAGTCAGCACTGGATATGACAAACCGAAAGAAACGAAGGAAAGTCACTTTGTTTCAACCATAATTTGATATTTACATAACAAGTAATGTTCACTTTCCCTGCTCAGGAATGAGATTCATTTACCACGCCTTTCAAGTTATCCAGAGAAGACTGCCGATATCACAGTTGTTTCATACAGATGAAGAGGCTCTACCAATATTGATACACACATTACCACAGATGCTGTGACCAGTGTTTCTGACACTTTATAAACAGTCCATTCCCCTCTACACATCCTCTACATCATCAATTAAATAACACAAGTATCTTATAGAGTAAGAAAATATTCTTGCTGCAATGCAAAAAATAGTTTCTTTTAAAAAGGAATCCGCTTGTATTGGTCAACAAAGACACACATTATACATGTAAACTCAACTCATAAAATGTTCCCAATAATTATGATCACAGGAAAGTCTTGAAAGATTCAATATATGTACAAAGCTTTATTAAAAAGCCAGTGGGCTTATGAAGCATAATACATAGCATTTCAACATGTATTCATTCAAATATCCAATTTCCATTCTAGAGACTTTCGCATGGCTCAAAAAAACCTAGAAAATAGTTATTGACTCAATATTGGGAATGTCAAAGACCACTGAGGTACCAAGAAGTAACAACATTAGGCTAAAAATATAATAGTCTTGGTTCTCAGGCACCGCCCACATCATCCTGAAGTCTGCCGTACGTTTCATTTTTATTTCCATTTTTCAAACAAATTAAAAAATCTTTAAATATTCCGCATCTTGAACACACTACCCCGTCAGTGAAATGCAACAATACTAAAGAACAACTTGATTTCGCGAAATTATTGTAACAAAACTTGGTTACGTAATAGCCTTAACAACTAAAAAATGGAAAAAAAACACTGCCTGCCTGCACATTTTCCAAAGCCATTGCCTGAGAACCAATTCTTTTATTTTTTTAAGCCTTTCAAATAACTACATACTGGTGGTGAATGTACATGATTCTAGTGTAAGGCTGTTAGGTTTTATGATATATCAAAACCTATCGAATTGAACATTTTGAAAGAAATTAAAAAATACTTTCCTTTATGACCAAATATGGTCACAATAATTTGAAACAGGTATCAGGGTCCCGTCCCACAAAGTGATTGCAGCGCTAAAATGTTCCGAACTCCAATACACTAACAGACTTACAGTAGTGCTGAGATTACTTTGTGGAATAGGACCAGGGCCCACTTGCACAAAGAGATCTTAGCACTAAGATTATTGTAACTCCCATATTTTTACAGAGGCTTACAAAAGTTGTAGCTAAGATCGCTTTGTGCAAGTGGACACTGGACTTGTTAAATAACTGATCATTATAGCATTCAATTTCAAGTAATCTTTTACAACATTAATTCACAAAAGTTCAAACATTAGAGGGATATAAGGTTACCACACAAATCCCATTCGTTTCTTGGTGTTCCCGTTGGCATTAATGATTTCCTTGGTCTCGTTGGTCGAGTCCCTCTGATAGTGAGGCATCTGGACGCCAGTCTTGTCGCAGGCCATGTAGCTGGGTCGGATTCCTCCTTTCCCTGCAAATATTGGTCCTGCACCACCTCCAGCCCCCTGCTTGGCGGCCTTACGTAGTGGGTACACGTTGCGACCACCCTTCTCGCAGTGGTCAATGACCTTGCCGGCGTACTCCTGGAATTGACGTTCCTCAATGTCCAGTAGGTCCATGTTGGCTTTGTCCAGCGCTAACTGGTCCTGGCGGATCATGGATTCGATGAGGCGGCGGTCATTCTGAAATAATGACCAATTCATGTCAATGATCAGACTTGGATCGTACTTTAGCTCTTCAAGTGTCTGCAGTAATGAACTTCTACCAAGCTGCCATCAACCTCATTGAGAACATGGTAGTCCACAAGGGAAGTCACCAGTCCTGAATTTACGAGTCTCATTTCAAACAAGGATGAGGTGATGTGAAATAGGGTGTTATGTCATTCTCAAATTAAAGTGTCATCCTCTATGTCGCCAGGGCTAGCATTTCAGTAAACCTATACCAACACCATGACCCATCCTGTTGCTTCTTGTAATCTCAAATTACCCGCCCTTGATTTTCATTTTCCAATTTGATTGGCTCACTACAAACCAGCCTCAATGTTGATTGGCCAGTTACGTTGATAATGATCGCATATGCAATCAATTCAACATTGAAAAACTGATAGGCACACACAAGAAACCCAAACAAATCTTTTGGATGGAAAGGATATCGTCATGTCCTTCAAAACTTGCAGTGGCTTTGGTTTCTCGGTAATATGATTTACCTCCCTTACCCTTTCCCTTATGTCAACGTTTGATTGCATGGTCGGTAAAATGTTAATTTAAATCAAGGGTGGGTTCTTCCCGATTGCAAGAACCATGGGAATGGATCAGAGGTAAGTGTAGGTTTACTGAAATGTAAGCCCTGAAAATATAGATGATGAATATGGTGCTAGCCCACTGAGATACCATGCTGCAGTTTAACATGGATAGCCCCCTAAGACACATTATATTGATTATAGTTTGACATAGCATTATTTTTGTATGTTTATGAGTTCAATAATTTTTTCCAACATAAACGGGTGCTCAAATGTACTTTTTAGAAATAAATAATAACAATGAACTGTATTCTATGAACACTTGACCAGAAGAAAAAGGTACATATTTTTTTCCTACAATGCAAGGCATATGTAATACTTTTCAGCAAAACGGAGAAACTCTTTTATTTTTTGGCGAAAAATCCCAGTCCCCCCACCGGAAAATTAAATGGTTGCTCCCTAAAGCAAAATGAAAGCCTTATGAAAGAGACTCACCAGCTGCTTCTCATGGAAGTCCTTCAGCTCGCTGGCGTTGTTCCGCTTCCTTCGCTGCTTTTCCTCCTCATTCCTTTGGAAAATTTCATCGGCAGCTTTCTTCAGATGGACCATTTCAAGTTCCTCACGCCGCTCGTACTTCTTCTTCTCTTCCAACTCCTTCATCTACAGGAAAATACCAGTGGTTAGAGAGTACTTAATGTAACAACTGGTTTGAGAGTAGCAATAACAGTAACCATTAGAAACCATCATAAATGACACAAACGACAGTGTTAATGACTCATACCAACATGCTGTCTGAGATGTGGATTGCATACTATAAAACGGATAGCCTGGCTTGTTACTATATTTTGGGTAAGTCAACATGATTAAGTATTCCATTTCTGCTTGATAACTTGATACCATCAGACATAGAAAGATGACAATCGCATTAAAATCAGATCTTAGTTCTCGCTATCACTAGACAAAGATCTGAGGACATCCCATTACAGGTCACGTCAGAACGACCTTTCATCCAACCAATCAAAGCGCCGCTTACCAGATCATGAAAGTGACAGTCGGAATGTGTTTTCATATCATGCAACCTCGAAAACGTTAACACAGTGTATTCCAAACGACAGTTATGGCCCGTACGACTAATTCCATCAAAATTATCGCCTATCTCTCGCTTCCGTAGGATAAACATTTGAATGGAGTCGGCGTTGCACAGTACGTGGGAAGCACTGCCATACAATCTCCACCATATATTAGACATTCCGGAATGTTCGTTTGTTCAGTTTTCAAAATTTTAATCGAGAACTGTGTCAACATATTTTTCAAGCATAGTCTGAAATGGAAGTCGCCAGGTTGAAACGAGTGCCGTAAAGCTCGAGAAAGCTGCTTTCTAACTGGCTGATGTCGACTTCTTGTTAGTCATTTCAGTGGTCGGTCAAAGTTCGTGAAATGGGATATCCTCAGATCTTTGTTTAGAGGCAGCGAGAACTTAGATCTGATTTTAATGAGATTAAGAAAGATGATGTCCATGAGATTCCATGTCACATTGTTACCAGTGTCTGCCAGTGAAATGCCAGACTTCCGGCTTAATCACACCATGATACAGCAGGGAAAAAACAACAACTCCTAAACAGTAAATCCCCTGCACTGTCACCTGCTTGTTTCTGTGTTCAGCAGACTCCTGAATCATCTTGTGAACCTTCTTGCTCTTCTCTGCTTCCTCGAGGACCTTCTTCTGCTCCATCTCTTCCTCGGCGCGCTGGATGCGGACATCCTCATCGTCAAGCTTCTCCTTCATCTGGGCACCAAGCTTCTCCCGGATCTTCTCCAGGTGCTGTTGCTTCTCTCTGCAACATCAAGTGCCTCGTCACTCGTCAGGAAACGATTTCTCACTGTCAGGTTATTTACAAGAAGTACTGAACTGAGGGTGTGATTGGCTGCAGGCTAAAACATTCTATACCTGTGACACAATAGCATAGTATATGACACCAGACCATGACACCAGACCATGACACCAGACCATGGCACTGGACCATGACACTGGACCATGACACTGGACCATGACACTGGATCATGATTCCAGACCATGACACTGGACATGGCAACAGACCATGATACCAGATGATGGCAACAAGATCATGGCGATAGACCATGATTCCAGACATTAGACCATGGCAATAATAGAGTCTATGAGGTGTCCGGCTGTCACCGACCCAAGAACTCAACTGACAGCACCAAAATATCCGAAACTGACAGAAAGCAGTCATTTTATCTTTTATCTTGTGTCCACAACACTGTCAATCAGCACCAGTGTCTACAAATGACGACAGGAAGGGATGCTCCTACCTGTGAATCTGTTTCTCCTTCTCAGCCCGGAGCTTCATCATCTTCCTCTTGGCTGCAGCGAATATTCTGCACTCCTCATCCTCCTCCTGAACAGGGAAGATTCAAACACTCTTCAGTTGTAATTCAAAGTGAGGGACAATTTGCCATTACCATACCTGAGTCTTAGCTGATCAGGGAATCCTAATTTGCCAAATTTAGCATGGACGGTTCAAAGCAAATAGTTTGCTTTGAGATTAGCATCAGAAGTATTAACTCAAGGATGTCTCATCCCACTTTCAGGCAGTTCTAATCTCTACTCCCAAGCTTGCTGATGTCCCCAATCGTTCCAACCCTACCTCCCCTCCACCATAAGTTCAAACAATCATCCAATTCCTGTAGCATAAACACAACCCTCAACACCCCTTCAAACCCTCTTCCTTTTCCTTTTCCTTTTCCTTTTCCTTCCTCTTCCTTCGGCTCTTTACCAAATATCTTTACAGGTACAAACCCTCTTCCAATAGCCCTCAAAATCTATATATCCCAAGTCTCACAAGTCTCATCTACCTAATGCCCTACCCTATTGCTGAACTGATGCTACTGGTTGATGTCCCTCCTCCCTCCGTCCCCTCTACACGTGGCCCCACCCTACACTGACCTCCTGCTGGTTCATGTGCCTCATCCCTCCCTCCCCTCTACACAAGTCCCCACCCTACACTGACCTCCTCCTCCAGCTGGTTGATGTCCCTCATCCCTCCCTCCCCTCTACACGTGGCCCCACCCTACACTGACCTCCTCCTCCTGCTGGTTCATGTCCCTCATCCCTCCCTCCCCTCTACACGTGGCCCCACCCTACACTGACCTCCTCCTGCTGCTGGTTGATGTCCCTCATCCCTCCCTCCCCTCTACACAAGTCCCCACCCTACACTGCCCCCCTCCTGCTGGTTGATGTCCCTCATCCCTCCCTCCCCTCTACACAAGGCCCCACCCTACACTGACCTCCTCCTCCTGCTGGTTGATGTCCCTCAACCCTCCCTCCCCTCTACACAAGGCCCCACCCTACACTGACCTCCTCCTCCTGCTGCTGGTTGATGTCCCTCACCCCTCCCTCCCCTCTACACGAGGCCCCACCCTACACTGACCTCCTCCTGCTGCTGGTTGATGTCCCTCATCCCTCCCTCCCCTCTAAACAAGGCCCCACCCTACACTGACCTCCTCCTCCTGCTGGTTGATGTCCCTCATCCCTCCCTCCCTCTACATGATGCCCCACCCTACACTGACCTCCTCCTCCTGCTGGTTGATGTCCCTCATCCCTCCCTCCCCTCTACACGAGGCCCCACCCTACACTGACCTCCTCCTGCTGCTGGTTAATGTCCCTCATCCCTCCCTCCCCTCTAAACAAGTCCCCACCCTACACTGACCTCCTCCTGCAGCTGGTTGATGTCCCTCATCCTGATGACGTCCTGCTGCTGCTGCAGGTTGTCCACGATCATCTGCTTCCTCTCATCCCGGCGGATGTTCTCGAGCCTCTCCTTCTCTACCTGGTGCTGCAAGGCCAGGGTCTTCAGCTCTCTGCCCTCAAGGCAATCATCATCCTGTTCCTTCTCAGCCTGAATCATGTGCTCTCTTACTCTGCAATACAGGCAGGAGGTATTATCTGACACAATTTCCAACACCTTCTAGCCAACATCAAGAATGGGGAAACAGAGAATGAACTCCACAAACTGAAGCCTTGATTGCACATGAACCTTTCCAGTCTGTAAAACAAACAACAATTGCTAGCCAACCTCTCCTGTAATATGTGTGAGTTAGGATGTAATCCCACTTTAGAGAGTATTTCAGTTTGTTTGTTAGTTGTTTAACCACGCACTAAGCAATATTCCAGCTATATGACGGCGGTCTGTAAGTAATCGAGTCTGGATCAGACAATCCAGTGACAGTTGACATTATGAGCGAGCCTGACCACCCGATCCCGTTAGTCGCCTCTTAAGACAAGCATAGTCGCCTTTTACGGCAAGCGCGGGTTGCTGAAGACCTATTCTACCCCGGACATACACGGGTCAGTATTTCAGTAAGAGTGAGTGAGTGACTCAACACAACTTTGAACAGTATTCCACTCATATCACAGTGTGTCAGCTAAATGTGGGAGGATTGCTGGAATATTGCTTAAGGAATAGCGGCTTAAAACCATACTCACTCACTCACTAATTTAGGAGGAAAGCCCAAATTGATGCAGGCCACAGATGTTTACCACTATGATGAAACCACGAGCATGGGTATGGTGCTGACAAACCCAGGACATAATCGGGGCGAACCAAGATTCGACCCCCACAATCACAGTTTTCGCACAAGCCCACAGGCAGAACTCAGAACATCGGTGCTTTAGATGAGACGCACTGGGCCACCCCTGCCCCCATTTCAGTTATACAACAGAGTGGTAGCTGAATGAGGAAGGAAAGCCCCAAGTGTTGCAAGTAATAGACATTTATTTGAAAACATTAATCCAAAACAATAAAATAAAAAAAAGGCTTACTGTGCCTTCTGGAAATCGGCTGTTTCTCTTGCAGCAGAGATTCTGTCTGCGGCCTTGGCATGGTCCTTCTGGATCCCTTCCTCATACTCCCTCCGAGTGATCTCAAGCCACTCCTGATCCTTGCCCTCACTGGCTCGCTCTTTCAGCTGCTTAAGTTCCAGCTGAGCCTCGCGTTCCTTCAACACCTCCGTGAGCAGCAGCGCCCCCTGGAGAAGGAAATTGATTCAATTTGGAAAATGGCTGGTCTTCTGCAAATTATTACGCTTCTATTTCTACATAATGTTTGCAAAAAGATGTTTGAATGATATTGAAGATGAGGGGAATAGAGTTGAATCGTGTGGGTATGTTGGGTTCAGTCATTTTATTGTAATATTTTCACTGTTAATTTTAATCCCAATCTTTTGGAATTTGTCATCACTGTTGATGGCAATCTTAAGCTACAAAAGTTTGTAGATGTGTGCATTTTTTTTGAGTGATCGGTGTCCATAACAAAAGGGAGGTAACTCTAAACTACTTTTTCCCCCTTGTTCTCTCCCAACCCCTGCCAATTTCCCACCCCACCCCCCTCCACCCCACTACTTTACATTCATTATAAGAAAATCCAAACATTTTTCTTGACCTACCGACCTTCAATTTTTGGGCAGATGTCTTAAACCAAAAAAGAAAGAAAGGCTGGTTCTAAAATATACAGCTTGGGTCCCATGTCAACTTACATGGAATGCCTTGACTCGATCTGTTTGATAATACTGTTGTGTCTTAGCTTTCTCAATGGCCTCTCTTCTCTGGGCAGCCTGATACTGAGCTTCCTCCAAGTCAACTTTCACTCTTTCTTCCTCCTCTCTCCGTTCACGTATTTTCCGTGCCTCCAATTTCCTCTGCCTTTGACCCTGAAGCAGAACATTAAACATCATCACATTAACCATCTTCCCGAGGCAAGAGAGTTAACTGACTTGAAAAAGTCCAGTTTCCACCCTTGCTGAACTAGGCTGGAATTCCTGGGCTCTATCGTAGCGCCACCAGTGGCTATTACGAGTTATGTCCCTTCTAAGCCTCTCCTTTAGACCAATCAGATTCCACCTCTCGTATCACTTGCATTTACTTCAAACAAAACAGTGGCGCCCAGTCAAGACGATCTGATCGATAATCAAGGTCTGTGATAAAACGGGTCTCACATCGCGAAATGCGTGAGCACCTTGATTAAAAACATGAAAAGATTTGGAAAATATGTGTTGACAACGAGTTGGCGGTGCACATGCTTTGCAAATCCTGCAGTCGACGGAAATCTGCAAGACAGTTTACGAACCGGATTTCGATTTCGTTGCACGCTTTTGATTGGACTATGCATAAACTCGTTAGTCCAGCCAAATTGTAACTCCATAATACTAGCCTAGTTCGGCAAGGGTGGAAACTGAACTTTTATAGTCAGTTAACTCTCTTGCCTTGGGAAGATGCACATTAACTTTGTTGAACAAAAACTAAAACATTCTACTCAGTTATAAAAATACATATGTTGAGAGTCTTTTGTTTGCATTTTCGCAACTTGTAATTTTCTATGCATGAAGATCCGGGGTAGAATAGGTCTTCCGCAACCCATGCTTGCTGTAAAAGCAGTGGCAGCGTCCACTTGTCCTTATAATGATGACAATACATTTTCTTAGGAACTGCCGTCATATAGGGGTGTTGCTGAGTGCGGCGTTAAACCACAAACAAACAAACAACCAAATTTGTATTTCGAGAGTTTATTTTGTTAAATTAGTCATGTTTATGACAAGCTATATTTATTTTTATATATTTGCCTCCCACATCAAAGACCTGAAATCTGAAACCCTGCATGTTTGTTTGTTGTTTAATGCTGCACTCAGCAATATTCCAGCCATATGACGACAGTCTGTAAATAATAAAGTCTCAACCAGACAATCCAGTGATTATCATCATGAGCATCAATTTACACAATTGGGATGCAATGACATGCATCAATCAAGTCAGTGAGCCTGACCACCCAATACCCCCTTGGGCCTATGGAACACTCTGGGACAGCCCGGGGCTCTGAGGAGCGAAAAGTCAAAATCGAAATTGTTTATAGGGAGCAGCACGGAGATACGGGCTGTACCATAAGTGTTTTCCTGAGATTCCAAACTGCTAGAGTCGGTGAGTGTTACAGCAATAGAAACTAACATAGTCCACTAGTCCTCATAATGATAACATATAGCGAAACCCTTAAAAATGGCAAATTTCTACAAGTCCTTATGATACTTCAACTATTGGGCAGTTTGGTAAGGTCAACAGGACTAGTGCCAATTTCTAACGCTGCTGTTACAGTTGCAATATGGTTTGGGCAAAACAGAGCCAGCACTAGCCTTAACAATGTAGCAGAGCTCCAGATAGGTTTTTGAGCAATTGAGTTTTTACTCGAAGTTTTCTATTTTAATTGGGTTATTACACTTTTCATTGAGTAACTTTTTTTTTTTCACTCATCTCTTCATCGCTCTATTGGGTTTTTCTCAAAATGAGCTAACATTTTGAGATTTCAAAAAAAATGAAATAATGTTTTTGATGTATATAAAGGTTCTAAATATAGTCTTGACTTGGAAATTAAATTAGCTTGTAATTGTGTTTCAGAAATTAGCTCTGAAAAAGCTTCATTGGGTATTTACGCATGCTGTTTTTATACATTTTAGTTTTTCCTTTAATGCATGGGTTTCCGACGCAAGTTTAATCAAAGTAATTGGGTTTTAAATATTTGGGGGGGGTATTTTATCAAATACGCAGCTTATCAGTAGCCCCGATGTAGTCAGTCAAGTAACAGAAGACAAGCATACTTACACATACGGTCACATGTTCATAATTCTCTAAATATGATATAATATAAATCAAATTAACTGTTTCAAACAGAGCAAAACATTGCATTAAATGTTTTCAATTTCTATGACTATTCTTTGTATGTGTTGTTGTATTTTTGTGTTTCATTATAATCATGATCTTGTATGTGAATTTGATTTATATTTATGTAAACGTTCTCTTACAGCAATGGTATTGCCCCAGTTTTTGACCATTTCTTTTGATCTGTTTTTCTGTTCTTCGCGTTCTTCCGTGATCCTCCTGATCCGATCCTCCTCAATTTGCCTTCTATTTAGCTCTCGCTGTATCCTTTCCCAGTCTGTTTTGGACAACACTGTGACCTGCCGTAGGTCGGCTCCACTTTGTAATTGTAAGGTGGCATTCTGTATCTCGATGGGCATTTTCTGGCCACCTGAAAAAACATGCATCGTGAATTTACAAATTTGTTTGTAACAATATGATTTTTGGTATAAATCAATATGGCCTAAAAAATTATGAAACCAAAAAACCATGTAGTTGTTTTCCTTTCTTTATATGCTGATGATATGAAGGTTTTAGAAGTCCCCATTAGAAATTTGATTGGAACTTCCTTTATAAAACATAAAATGTCTTTTATCATGAAAAGTGCCACAAATGCAGATGCTTTGGGTTTTTTAAGGTACTGATGATGATTGCAGCAAAGAAGTACAATATTGCAGACGTGGCTTAAAGCGCTATTTACTCACTCATGATAGCCTGGAACTAGGCAAGGCTATATTATTGAAATCAAATTAATTATCATATTTTCTTCTTTAATTTACTTGGTTTGTTTGATTTTTTGTTGTTTGACACCACGCTCAGCAACATCCCAGCTATATGGGGGCGGTTCCTTGGTTAATATATTGTAATACAAAAAACACTAGAGCACTTGGACTTATTTTAGCAGCCCTCACACTGTTTGCTCTGTAGCCTGCACACTCCTAAAGTTTTTTTCTTGGTCGAGAAAAGCAATATATCAGAAACCAACACAATTTGAGGAGCTTATACAAGATGACAGAGTACAACATCTCAGAAAGGCCTTATGTGAAGAGAAATACAACGAAAGTTTCAAATAACCATGGCTGGTAAAGTATCACAATATGCAAATTTACCTTGAGGTTTATAATTTTACAAAATATGATCTAGAGCAAAACTATGAAATATTTGACTGCACTATGCATGCAAGATTTTAAACTAAGTTCCAAAATAGGATGTGCATAGTATACACAAGAAAATATAGTAATTTCACCAATGAGATTTGACAAGAGCTAGTCACTTTGGCAACATCAGTACCAAACATTATGGTGAGAAGTGAGAGGATTTTATGGATGCCATATTTGTTGCCGTGTTGTTATAAACCTGGGGGGAAGGAAAGAAATACAATTTCTAGGTTACACATACGTTGAGTTTTAGAAATAAACTTTTCACTCTTGTTTATATTTAATGTTCTTTGGCCTCTAAAAGAGATCTGATGGAATTGGGCATTCTTGCACATACTTGCTTAGATGGGTTATAGCGAAAACGGCACCTAAGCAAAACGGCACCGATTGGCGAAAACGGCACCTTATTTTTTGTTTTACCTTGGTCAAATAAATGATATTAAACTTACATTGTAACTTGCAAACGCCAAACAAAATTAGAAATTAGCCTCTACTCCAACTATAGGATGGAGACTGAGATCTCTCCCTGACCCAAGTACTCTCACAATGTTCGGTTGTACATGGACCAATATTGTGAAGAGGATGATGATGATGATGATGATGATGATGATGATGATGATGGACATGCCACAAAACTGTATATATGAACATATTTACTTATCTGTGAAAACGGGAAATACAATGTATTACATCAAATGACATGTAAATAAACCCTATATATTACTACAAAAATCGTTGTTATCGTTCTTTAAATAGAGGTGCCGTTTTCGCCCGACACATAGTAGCCGATTTCGCTAACTGCGGTGCCGTTTTCGCCAGAGAAATCGGTGACGTTTTGCTAAGGTGCCGTTTTAGCCTGCACCCGCTTAAATACACACATCTCAGAAAACGATGAAGACGGGAACCCAGTAAAGCAGTTGACTGAAGTTTAATGTTTAAACTGAACTTCCTTCTGATCAAGATTGTTTTCAACAATAAAACATGCTTAAATTAAATACTGGGGGTATGGAGGTAAAACTAATACCTTTGATTTTCTTATCTTTCTTGTCATTGTGGAGTTTGCTAAGTATACATGGAGCATTGCTATTAAGACTATGTTAAAGATCTCCAATGTATGCACATCCTATCAATCGGCCACTGTTAATATGAACTTATTTCTTGATCTACTCGAAAAGCATAAATTACCAATCAAAATACCAGCGTACTACAATAACAATTACATACTGAACGTTTATAAATCGGTTGATTATAAAATTAATTAGATTGCGAGGATATCACTTCTAGTTATTTACTCCCTGTCATTCACAATAATAAACAAAAGAGACGCACTCAAAATATAATTATGGTTGAGCTCATGAAAGATTTACCTCTTTCTTGTCCCTTTCTACGACCGTGCAGTACTTTGGCAGACATGGTGAATTTCAGACTCCTGTTTTTACTTTTTAAAGTCGACTAACACCAACGATTTCCACACAACATTCTACCATAAATGCCTCCTTGTTGGTAGTTAGGCAAACATCCATGTATCCAGTACGTCACTTCCGTTTATTTGACCTTCGACCAAGGGCGAATAACTCTAGTTAGTTATTTACAGTGAAAATAAACTATCCTTTTGTGAGACGTACAAAAATCAGTTATTTTGTGCAAAGAAGTCCAGTGCTTGAAGTCATGCTATTGTTACATCTGTAACCACAATTTTAGCTGACTATAACGTGAGTGTCAATTCCTTCATACTTCGCCGTTACTGATAAGACTAGGCCTGCCCTAAGAGTGCTGAACAGAAAACAGCTAGACATTTTTGAAGTGTTTTGATACCCTCCTAATGTTCTTGGAGTCTTGCATTTACTGAAAACAACTTGTTTGCTCATAAAATCGCATAACTTACATCAGTAACATGCTGCTTTATTTATCTGTGAATAACAATCGAATCTTCACACACAGTGTTGAGGCAGGTATAGGCGTCGATGGGACATCGTTTGCATCCATGCATGAACATAGCGACATGCGACACTCGTTTTTGATACTTGAGACTAAATGACACTTGATACTTTAGATTCTAAGACAGCATACTGTTGAAACGCTGAACACAGTTTCTCTATTGCTCACGTGCATGTTATGTATTTATACACTATTTGTAACTATCATTAATAAATGTATTTTCATCATGTTTCATATGCTCATGTATAATACATCTAAATTTAACAGCTGAATTAAACTACATACTACCGTCAGTTTTTATACTGCCAGAGGTTGACACAGGGAATAGGTGAAGAAAGTGTAACCATGTCACATATTTTTGTGTGTGTTTTTGTGGTAAATTTGTTTTGCATTAGACATGTTAGAAACTTATTTCCTTTTTGGTGGTATGTTTGGTTGAAAAGTTTGTGACAGTAATTTTTACTGTTATGTATCATGACAAAGTTCGAATTGTAGATTTAGAAACATTGTGGAAATGTAGGCACATGTCACATTTTTATTAATACTTTTAACTTTATTTTTTCAGTTTTTACATAATCATTTCAGTAGCAACTTTTGAAAGTGACTGTTTGTTATCATTTTAAGCTACATATACAGGTAACCTACAGTGCTGTGGCGCTGTTTTCATGAAATTTATACAATAGAGAGACAGTGAATTAGAAGCCAATCCCAAATGAATGATAATAATTACTAATAATTCCTGTTTGTGTCTTTCACTTACTTTAACAACAGTTTTTTGACAAGAGGTTCATTTGGTAAGTACAGTAAACTACAGTTATACCGAACTGAAAGGGACCACTAATGTTAGTTTGTTATATATCCATAGTTTATGAGCATTTAGACAGTCAGACATTTTGGATCAAGTCACGTGACCACATCATGTTACTCGATAAATAACAAAGTGTGCACCGTATATGTACTACATTTATTTATCTCATAAATGACATAAAACGCATAACATAAGTAAATACATGTTATAAATATATTATTGATACAGTTTCATTGACATACAAACACAAGAGTCACTTGCTGTCTGTCAGTAGACAAAATATATCCACTTCAAGGGCTATAGCCAAGTCACTGTTAATAGTAAGTTGAGGATGCTCGTACTTAATCCAGTTAATCACTTGCCTTTAATTGTTTATTGTCGCTTTAAACAAGCATATGTGGCCACAGATGTTTTGATAGTTTTGATAAAATATACAGCAAAATGGCTGGGGCCGAAAAAACAGTGTGTTATATCCGTCAGTTTATTATAAGAGTGTTCTTTATAAATGATGTTTGTTTGTTTGTTTGTATGTTGTTTAATGCCGCTCTCAGCAATATTCCAGCTATATGACAGCGGTCTGTAAATAATCGAGTCTGGACCAGACAATCCAATGATTGACATCATGAGCATCGATCCATGCAATTGGGATCGATGACATGCATGAACCAAATCAGCGAGTCTGACCACCAATCCCGTTAGTCGCCTCTTACGATAAGCATAGTCGCCTGTTACGGCAAGCATGGGTGGTTGCTGAAGACCAATTCTACCACGGATCTTCACGGGTCTGTTGGTTGTAAGAGGTGCCCAAATGAATCGGGCAGTCAGGCTCTGGGACTTGGGTGAGTGTCTTCATACCCACAATATCAATCACTGGATTTTCTGGTCCAGACTTTGGATGATAAATAATATACAAGTGTCATGTAATGGGTATGTTTTACCCCTGCAGAATCTTTGGGAATGTGAAAATATAATTGAGAACACAATGATATTTATCGAGTGACAATTAACTCTTTTGAAATTTCTTTCATGAACATGAATGAAATAACTGGATTTTTTTTTCCAGATTGATGATGGGAGAGAAAATTCTGCTCGCTTTAGATTTTGACCATACAGTGATTGATGAAAACAGTGACCTTTTTGTGATTCGTCTTGCTCCAAATGGGGAGCTACCGCAAAAAATCAAAGGCTTCTATAGTGACAATGGCTGGATTGAATATATGGGCGAGATCTTTAAGTTTCTACATATTCACGGGGTAAAACCAGACAACTTCAAGGAATGTCTTTCCTCAATCCCTCTGACTCTGGGAATGGAAGAACTCTTTGCTTTTATCAAAGGCAGCGACAAGTTTGAAACGGTCATCATTTCCGACTCCAATTCCATTTTCATCGATACGATTCTCGAAAGGTTTGGTCTGAAGGACACTGTCACTCAAGTCTTCACGAATCCGGCTATGTTTGACCAGAATGGACTCCTGACAATACAGTACTACCACACCCAAGACTGGTGCTCGCTCAGCACCGTAAATCTCTGTAAAGGACACATCCTTCAAGAATTCATCAAGGAAAGAAAGCAGAAAGGTGTGACCTTCTCGACGGTGATCTACATCGGGGACGGGTCCAATGATCTGTGTCCCGGGTTGTCCTTGAGCCAACAGGACTATCTCTGTCCTCGTGTGGGATTCTCCCTTTGGAGAAAAGTTAATAAACTGATGAAAGAAGATGAGAAGACGAAGTCGCTAAAAGCTCGGATCTACCCCTGGGAATCCGGCAGTGATATTGTGGGACTTATCAAGAATATTTCGCCCTAGAATACAAATTTTCCTACAGAGACATGTGATGCAATTTAGAAAAACAAATTATGAATGCTGAAGTGATGCTGGACGTGTCAAGCCCAAGGATGCAAATGTTTGTACAAAGATATAGATGAATTTTTTAAAATAACAAGTTGCCTGTTATTTCAAATGTGGAATTCATGTTTTCTGTCTTGCAAATTAGAAGAAGAAAGCAAATTGTCTGTCTTAGATGTTGTTGTGCATGTGTTAGTTTTAAGTTCACATGTACTAAAAGTTTGTGTATTTCAGTTTAAAATGATGGGATGCATATAACATGATTTGGGACGAGGCAGACATATTACATGTATTAGATGTATATCATAATATGTGTATGTTTCAGTGTTACTTTTGCATCATGTTTGTGTTTTCTGGATCACAGATGAAAAACACTTGATGAGATTATTTATAATGATCTGTCTGTACATACTATCCTTAGGAAGGGGAAGAAATGTCAGCCTCTTACTCAATCACTTAATGGCTTTAGTTCAGTTAACTGTATATAAAAGTACTCTAGTTGTAGTACTTGTACTTATGTCATAATCATCATTATAATAATTATGATTGTTATATTTCCATATATATTTCCATGGCAATAAGAATGAAACATATCTTGACTGTTGTCTATTATTTAGGATCTTCTTTTCTTCCAGTACATCATTAGATTGAGGTTATCACTCTTGTGTGTTTTGGGATGGTAAATATCCTTTTGAGAGCCTTGGGCTAGTTCAAATGCAGCACAGATATTGAAGCACCAAGTTAAAGATTCTCATGGTTAATGAATGTACGGTATGAAATTCCTTGCAGCATATTTGTATTGTTTTTATTTTCATTTATTTATTTTTACTTTTAAGCTGTATTTGATGACAGTAGTTTGTTCTGTGATGTGCTGACTCGTACATTATTTGTAACGAATATCCAGTTACTTGTGCATTATCCTTAACATAATCAAGAGTGAGATTCTGACATGGAGAAGTCTGACAGACATGGTGCATCATGATGACCAAATATATTCCCAACTCAAGTGATTCCTTTAAAAGATGCCTGTGTTATTGAGCATGTTGAGTATTAGAACCACTAGCCATATCAAGAGGTTTCAAATGATAAAATCCTGGGTGTCAAATTAGGAGGTAAACCTGTGTTTTTAAATTTGAGGCTGTCTAACTGTAACTTAGATACGTCTTACTTTAAATTTGGAACTGAGGGTTTTAACACAGGTTGTAAATGTCATTTTCCTGGGCAAGGGAGGTAACTGTCTATAAGAGTCCAGTTTCCACCCTTGTCGAACTAGGCTCGATTTTCTGGGCTCGATCGTAGCTCCACCAGTGGCAATTACGAGTTATGTCCCTTCTATGTCCCTCCTATTGACCAATCAGATTCCACCTCTCATATCACTTGCATTTGCTTCAAACAAAATGGCGGTGCCCTATCTGATTGATAATCCAATTCTATGTGGGAATCAAATGGGTCTTTCTTTGCGAAGTGCATCATATCATGTGTGCACCTTGATTAAAAACAGGAAAAGATTTGGAAAATATCTGTTGACTTCGAGTTGGCGGTACACATGCTTTACAAATCCTGCAATTGACCAAATCTGGACAATGCAAAGGCTCGTTAGCCCAGCCAAAATATAACTCCATAATACCGGCATAGTTTGGCAAGGGTGGAACTGGACTTTTATAGTCAGTTAACTCCCTTGCCTCGTGAAGATGGTAAATGTATATATAAGAGATTACTCAATAACACCCTCAGTCTATGCAGGCAAAACAATGTAAATACAGAAGTGGTTTTCTCTATTACAAATAATTGTGAGACAAAAAATGTCTTGAAACAGGTTTTATGTGAAGTTTTGGTTTCTGTGTTTGAATTTTCATGTGATGTTTGTTTATCTGTTTTAAATTTTGAATGTCATGAACAATCTTCAACAAGTGACAAATCTAACATGTCATTTTTTTTATGAAATAACAAATGCATATCTGTAATGTGTATTCAGTATATTATTCCTACATTGTCATGTTCAAGGATATTGTATGTAAGACAACTAACGTAGGCAGCACTTTGTTAATTTTGGGATTACAGATTTCTTGCTAACCAATTAGCTTGAAAGTAAGGAGGATTTACAGTAGAACATGGCTACATCAAACAAGGAACCGGAGAAATCGGTTTGCTATATATTGTTTGTTATAATCATTGTTTGTTATATACTGTAAATCCTGAAAATAATGCGAGCTTGAATTAAATGCGAAATATGTGAGTGGTGTTTGCGCGCATTAACTAAACCTTATACTTGCCAGTTAACCGAATAAACACATAAACTGTGCTTTTAGGAAAACACTATATTGTTTTTGCGGATGTGCTCTACTCAGCGCTAATAAGCGGTGTTATTTGCTGTTTGTTTGGATTAAGGTCAGGTTGGATTAAGGTAAGGATATGTACCATTCCACTGGGGATGGGGTGGGTTGAGTCATATTAATATTAACATTTTTGGCTAGAGGTCAGCCGTCGTATTAATTCGGAGACGCATTTATTTCAATATTTACAGTACATGTTCTCTCAGACATGTTTACCATATTTGCTGAAACAATAACTGCAGCATTGTATTAGCTGTGGTCATTCCATAACATTCATTTTATAACATTGCAGCCTGCACAATTTTCATATTTAAGAAAGCTGCGAGATAAATCGCAAAGAACAATGAAGAATGAAGCGTGGTTTATTTCACAATAAAAATTTGCTTCATGACGTCATTTCTGGAGATATGAATAAGCGCTCGCAACTTGTTGACGTCATATATTGGACGACGTTATGTTTTTTTAGGGAAGTGTCTAGTAAGTTGTTCCACATAGAAGTAGCTAGGTTACGCAGATAAACGGGAAATACAGGAAATACCAAACTTAACCCACCTATTCGTAAAGTGTCCAACATTTCCGAGGTCAGATTCTATTCAGTGGGGTCATCATTATTAAAATTTGGGTAAATGTTTTTAAAGCTTGTACATTTTATCAACATCCTTAAAGAGGCTTTGGAGGCCCAGTCGTCTAAGCCGCTGTGATTCGCTGTGCAGAGTTGTGTCCCTTGGGCACGCCAGAAACCTATGATTGTGGGTTCGAATCCTGGTTCGCCCCGATTATGTTTCTAGGTTTATCAGCACGATACCCGTGCTTGTGGGTTTCTCCGAAGTGGTAAACGTTTGAGACCTGCATCACTTCGGGCTTTCCTCCCACAGTAAGCTGACACGCCGTGATATAACTGGAATAATGTTAAAAGCGGTGTTAAACCCAACTCACTCACTCACTAATTTTAAGAGGCTGTACATGATGTTCTTATCTCATATAAGAAATCAACAACTCGTAGCTTATCATACAATAAAACACTGCAGGGAGAATGAACCACTGTGGGCCCTGCCCCTCCTGGTTTATTCTCCCTGCAGTGTTTTATTGTACTTTAACAACTTCCACTCATCATTTTTTTTTAAACCGGAGGATACGTTTCTCAGATTTAAGATAAAGACTTGGATGTCAGCTGATGAAAAAGGCCAGTTTCATCTGAATTGAAAATGTCTTGTTTCTCGTTTGTTTCAAGATACCATGGATGTTGAGAGGTCAATTTATCATTGTGCTGATTCGCTACTGAATTGACACTGAGTGAGATTTCTCAGATCATTTTACATGTCACTAATTAGTGACAATATCCATTGTTCAATATTTTTGCATCTGTTTCGTTGAAATAGTGATCATAATCCTGTATTTAAAGTGCTATTCACCACATGTACATTTACATCTATACTGAACAAAAACGTTCGGAATCATGAATATTTTTTGTAAAATTGTGTGCTCAGTCGACTCTACAAAAAAATATCCCCCAAAATATTCATGATCCCTAAAGTTTTATTTCAGTCTAGGTATTCCTGTCGCTAGTGTAAAAGAAGCCTTGTTACTTTATTAGATGTTGACTGGGGTCAATGATATATGTATATTTATCAAATGTGTTTATTTATTATTTAAAGATTAACTGTTACGTCACAAATCCTAAGGTCCCAAAATATATTACAGGCATGGCACATGTCCGTCCGCCACCTGATGTTCCTCTCTGTAACTCCGGCCTTTCTCCATGTGGCCTGGAGAGTCTGAAACTGTCGGGGTACATCTATTACCGTAGTTATACATGTTCATGTTTACAGCATATAAATCTAAATCTTAGAGTGTCTTTTTTTTAAAACTGAGAAGTGTTAGGAAGCCATAAGACCCAGAGAGCAGTGTGTTGGATAATAATATGATTGGTTTATCATTATCATGGCATATACCGTATTTGACATAATAACAGCCCAGGGCGCTTCAAAATTAGAAATAGGGGCTCTTATTAGAATATTATTTTGGTGAAAAAAACAACAGACAGCCTGAAATGTTTATATACAACAGATATATTTTTCCAGAATTTAATTGGCCATAATTAAGAGACATAACACACGAGTTCATACTAAACGCGAATAAATATGTCGTGTGTACATTGATCAATCGGAAGGGGTGCTAATTGGGATTGTTCACTAGCCAATATATTAGCAAATATCGCCATGGGCGCTTATTAGAGCAGGGCGCTTATTACGTCGAATACGGTACTTGTTATTTCTTACAAATTTAAAAAAATCATCTTCCATTGCTTTATATGTTTATATATAATCTTCTCGTACACCAAAAACTTGAAGTTTTTCGGATAAGTTTTCAATGGGTTTTATTTAAAGTGTTTAAATTAATTTATTGATATGAATAGTGAAGGTAAATGAGTTGGATTTTTTTATATATTTTACTTTCTTCTTTTTTTTCTGGTCAGTGGAATTAAGAACCAAGTGCTGGTAATGTTTTTGACATTTCAATTTTTGGAACCAGCAGGTTAGTAAACCATGTTTTGAGAAGGGCCTCTCGCCTCTACCCCAATATCAAATGGTTGGTCACTTGTGACTGCCCATGTTTTCTTCGATCTGAATGTATTGATTCTAAATGATCTAGCTATATTTGTTCATTCTAGTTTTATGCCATGTTGGTAAGGCCTTTCATGTTTCATTAGTTGGTTTACACAAATTTTGGCCTAACTTGGCCTAATTTAGTGTAGGTGATGGAAAGAAATATAATTCAACTTCCAGATTGGTACTGCTACTAGTGAATAAAATATTAACTTGTAGGACACACCTTAACGAATGTACTATTTCCAAACAATTCTGAAAGGTAATTGATTTTTTTTAATTGATTTTTGTTATTTTGGAAGAACCCAGTGCTGTTAACTTTATTTACATTTAAATTTTTTGAGCCAGCAGGTTCATAACCATGTTCTAAGGGGTGCTTCTCTTCCCAACCCCTCCCCCCACCCCCTCTAAAATTGTTAGATTACAGATTTTGTACGTTTGTACGTATTACACACCATTTCTAAGAACAGCGGTGATATGATCTTGTGTTGTTCCTGTAAACCAGCTAAAAAAAATGTAAGGCCTAAAAACATTATATTGATGACATATTGTCTGTCTGTCCATCCACCGTAAACGTTTACATTTGCATCATCTCCTCTGAAGCGGCATTGTCCGTGATGCTGACAGTGCTGATGATCTCAGCATCTGGAGCTTCTCTTTGATTTACATCAGGTTTGGATTTATTTTTTTATTTTGCATGTGGTGTTTGCCTCAGTATTATGTATTTTGTATCTATTTACTTTTCAAGAAAACTTCCAGGCCGTCCATGGTCTTTCCAACATCTGTAGCTAGCTGGTACTATCAGTTTTATCATGAGGAAGGAGGCCCCTTGTTGAGGTATCAATTAGCCCTGTCTCCTCAAGGCTCGTCACTCCATAATAGAGGAAACAACTAGTCCCATTCTGGATTCTTGCTACCATCAAGAAGCAAGTTTTATGACTTTGTGAATAAATTTCAGCTTAACAACCAGAAATACGACTTCTTAATGGCAAATTTAGTGATATGACTTCTTAATGGCATATTTGATACCACATATATATAGCCTCTATAATCCTAATCTGTATCGGGGCGGTCGGGTAGCCTTGTGGTTAAAGCGTTCGCTCGTCATGCCAGAGACCCGGGTTCGATTCCCGACATGGGTACAATGTGTGAAGCCCATTTCTGGTGTCCCCCGCCGTGATATTGCTGGAATATTGCTAAAAACGGCGTAAAACCAAACTCACTCACTTAATCTCTATCGAACCCTCATTCGACTCCCATACCAATAACCAGTGCAAGACGGGTCCAGCAGTCCAAGAGACTGTGATGACATCCTGAAGAGATATTTACGATCACAGTCAGTAGATGGGAGAAGCCCAATCTGTTTTCCACGACACTCATGGTCGGCCTTTAAGAATCGCTACAGATTTTTTATCCCTTCCCCATGAAGTGTATACACCAGATTGTTTTATACGTGTATCTAAACACATTTTGCCAGGGCTACGGTCAAACTTTTCCCAATTGGACAGTTTTTTGGTTTTGGTTTGGTTTGTTGTTTTAGGCCGCACTCAGCAATATTCCAGCTATATGATGGCGGTCTGTAAATAATCGAGACTGGACCAGACAGTCCAGGGATTTACATCATGAACATCGATCCACACAATTGGGATCAATGACATGCATGAACCAAGTCAGCGAATCTGACCACCCGATCCCGTTAGTTGCCTCTTACGACAAGCATACTTGCCTGGACCTACCTCTTGAGACCTACAGCGGGTACCTGAGTAGGGTCGGGTAACAGAGGGTGGGTACCCGGGTAGTAAATTTGGACTCGTCCCAGCCCTACAGTGCTGAATACTGTTGGTGTGACAACAACTCCAGACAATGACTCATATTCAGCCCCATCTGGAATCCAAGAAATATCTATATCAAAATGTGAGTAGAGTGTTTACAAGCCTTATGACCCAGGGGCGGTCGGGTAGTCTAGTGGTTAAAGCGTTTGCTCGTCATGCGAAGACCCGGGTTAGATTCCCGACATATGGGTACAATGTGTGAAGCCCATATGTGGTGTCCCCTGCCGTGATATTGCTGGAATATTGCTAAAAGTGGCGTAAAACCATACTCACTCACTCACTCACCTACCTTATGACCTAGGATTGGTCGGGTAGTCCAGTGGTTAAAGCATTCGCTCGCCACGACTAACACCCGGGTTCGATTCCTGGTGTCCCCCGCCGTGATATTGCTGGAATATTGCTAAAAGCGGCGTAAAACCATACTCACTCACTCACTCACCTTAAGACCCAAGTGTCTTATTTCACTTATATTGCTCATGCCAAGGTCAAGGTTATGTTAACTTTATGTTTTTCTTTGGGCAGGACAAGAATTTTTTTTGTTATGTTTTATTTATTACGTCTTGTCAATTTTGTATGATGAACGTTCTTGCTTTCAGTTTATTAATTGTATTTTGATTATATAGATATTGATGTTAATTCCAGATTGACTATAGTCAGCTGTTTTAGAAATAAAATTATTAAATTTCGGAAATTATTTGTTGTGTGTGACATGGGTCTTGTTTCAGTTTAGCTCACCTGACTGAAGCTTTTGTCATAGCATGTTACATGTTACAGGTTGTCCGTCCATCAATCATCACATCTGAACCGATGCTGGGCCCTAACCCCTGATGTGTTTTCTGAAAGCAGAAACACTAGTCTTTGGGCTATGTGTTCTTTTTGCAGGTTGTTGTTCTAAGAGCGAGTGAGTAAGGTTTTACGCCGCTTTTAGCAATATTCCAGCAATATCACAGCAGGGGACACCAGAAATGGGCTTCACACATTGTACCCATGTCGGGAATCAAACCTGGGTCTTCAGCGTGACGAGCGAACGCTTTAACCACTAGGCTACCCGACCACCCTGTTGTTCTAAGAAGCGACTAACTAACGGATCGGGAGGTCAGGCTCGCTGAGTTTGTTGATGCATGTTCTCGTATCTCAACTGCATGGATCGATGCTCATAATGTCAGTCACTGGATTGTCTTGTCCAGACTTGAGTATTTACAGACACATAGCTGGCGTATTGGTGAGTGTGGCGTAAACAAAAAACAAACAAACAAACAAGCCACAGACAATGCTTGAATGTATACTTTGTATTTAGTTCTAATTGTCATGCATGTGTTACAAATTTTCAGAGTAACATTTTTTGCAAATATAAATAAATTACAAGTGATTCCATCAACCAAAACAAAATAGGCCACGCCCACTAACGGACTTCTGTTCCCTGGTTGGCTGAAAATAGATGGGTGGGCGGTGAAAAATGTCATCGTTTTGTTGTCTGCAGTTTTATTGTGTTCATGATAAACTAAACTGTCTGGGAAGTTCTTATTGTTGTGTTAGGATCATCTTCCCGAGGCAAGAGAGTTAACTGACTATGAAAGTCCAGTGGAAACGATGACGTGCATAAACCAAGACAGCGAGCCTGACACCCGATCCGGTTAGTCGCCTAGCTCTTAGGACAAGAATAGTCACCTTGTTTTACAAGCATGGGTTACTGAAGACCTATTCTAACCCAGATCTTCACCGTTCTAGTCTATGGCATGCAGACAGGTGGCTATCTTTTACAGTTGGAATTTTTACAGGTGCGCTAGTTCACAAGGAAAAGTACCGTGAGTTGGTGACCGCTGCAAAACCAGCGAGTGGAAAAGTTATCTGTCGACCTTGACTTGTGTGACTCTAGATCACGACCTCGGTGTCACCGGCGGTTCGAGATATGAACTGCCCCATGGTGATGAAAGCGTGACACAGTTGAATGGAAAATAAAATATATATATCATTTCGTTGCTGATGTTTACAGATTTAAATTGATAATAGTGTCCTGATAGAGATTATCTGAAAATCGTTACTGAAATTAATCCTTAATAGCTAGTAGGCTTGGGACGGGTCACTCGGGCACCCGGGTCGGGTGGGTACTGAATAGGGTACCCGCAGAACTACCCGGACCCGTGGTTAGTCACGTGATATATTGTTTAATGAAAATATTATCTAGAACTCTTCGGTTACACTACAAGTCACTAATGTTCGCATTTTTTCTGACTATGCACCCATTCCTTCTGATTTTTCATATGGTTGAATAAAAATATTACTAAATTCAACTTCAGTGTATGAATGACCAGATTGTTTAAAACATGTATCTCAATACATTTTGCCAGGCTATCTCCTCAGAGTGAGTGAGTGAGTGAGTATGGTTTTACGCCGCTTTTAGCAGTATTCCAGCAATATCACGGCGGGGGACACCAGAAATGGGCTTCACACATTGTACCCATGTCGGGAATCGAACCCGGGTCTTCGGCGTGACGGGCGAACGCTTTAACCACTAGGCTACCCGACCGCCCCCTATCTCATCAGACCTACAGTGGGTAACCGGGTAGGATCGGGTAATAGGGGGGTGGGTACCCGGGTAGTAAATTTGGACTCGTCCCAGCCCTAATAGCTAGACTATTTTTAAAACTCGGTTTACGAATCTGCCAAACTATTGAAATATGAAAAAATATTATATGTCGTGTTGTTTTTATCCACCGGTCATAAATAGAGTACAATGTAAACAAAACCCCAACCAGACACTAATTTATGTTCAAATTTAACTTTTTTTTAATTTGAAAAATAATGTCATTTCTTCATGACCCCCCCCCCCCCCACCCCCCCCCACCCCCCCCCCCCCCCCCCTCGTCTTTTTTTTATGATCACCCCCTTAATTTAACCACCCCAAGTCCCTGAGCAAACATGTATCTACAGCAAGTATGCACAGACGTACATACAATGAAAAAATAACATGTGCCCAACCAAAAAGGCTGACTTGATTGATGCATGTCATCGTATCCCAATTGCGTGGATCGATGCTCATGAGGTCAATCGCTGGATTGTCTGGTCCAGACTCGATTATCTACAGACCGCCGTCATATTGCTGGAATATTGCTGCGCGGCGTTAAACAAACAAATAAACAAATAAAAGGCTCATGAAACACTTAAAACATTTCACATTAAATATGTGTGAGAACATTAAAAAACTAATATTATAAAGTCTGCTCCTTTGCATTTAAATATTTCACAGAGGTCAAATATGTTACACAACCCGGGTCTCAATCTGGCTTTGCATCTCATCGAACAAGCAAGTCATTGTAATATCCTTGTTGGGGTGGCTTATCAGTGGCTGTCGAGTTATGATGATTTACCACGTAGAACGGACTGGACTGGGCTTCTACCAACAAGAAGTTTGCGCTGGGGGTAAAGGTAAAGATTATCAACTCCTGGAGATAAGGTGTGCACTGTGTCTGGAGATAATTGATAAATGGTCTGAGATTGGGATATTGTAAGTTGACTCAGAAACATCTCCATAATCTACTGAAACAGTGTACTTTGAAACATGAAGATCCGGGTAGAATAGGTCTTCAGAAACCCATGCTTGTCGTAAAAGGCGACTATGCATGTCGTAAGAAGCGACTAACGGGATCGGGTGGTCAGACTCGCGGACTTGGTTTATGTATGGCATCGTATCCCAATTGCGTGGATCGATGCTCATGATGTCAACCACTAGATTATCTGGTCCAGACGCGATTATTTGCAGACCGACGTCACATAGCTGGAATATTGCTGAGTGCGGCGTTAAACAACAAACAGACTGTGAAATCCAGATTGATATAAATAATGTGTTGACGTCCCTGACAGTACCTGTTTCAAATTGAGCACCTTCGCCTCTGGTTTGGTTGTAGTGATCTCGGTGCCCACAAAATTCTGAAGCTTCAAATAATCCTGCGTGTTCCTGCTGCGACCCTTATGATGCACACAGCAATACTGTAAATCTGGAAATTAATGCGTCTACAAGTTAATACGACTGCTGACCTCTAGCCAGCTTTATGACGGCGGTCTGTAAATAATCGAGTCTGGACCAGATAATCCAGTGATTGACACCACGAGCATCGATCCACGCAATTGGGATCGATGACATGCATCAGTCAGCGAGTCTGACCACCAGATCCCGTTAGTCGTCTCTTACGACAAGCATGGGTTGCTTAAGACCGAAATTCGGATCTTCACGGTCCTACCCTTATGAGTGAGTGAGTGAGTTGGGTTTAACGCCGCTTTTAACATTATTCCAGTTATATCACGGCGTGTCAGCTTAATGTGGGAGGAAAGCCCGAAATGATGCAGGTCTAAGACGTTTACCACTTCGGTGAAACCCACGAGCACGGGTATGGTGCTGACAAACCTAGAAACATAATCGGGGCGAACCGGGATTCGAACCCACAATCATAGGTTTCTGGCGTGCCCAAGGGACGCAACTCTGCACAGCGAATCGCGGCGCCTTAGACGACTGGGCCACCCGTGCCCCCCCTACCCATATGAAGATTTACTGCACTTCTAATTTCGTCGCTATATGGCTGAAATTATGCCGATGCGGCGTTAAATTTTAACTCACTTTAATTACTTGTCTTGTATCATTTACATCAATATCAGAAACAACGTGCAGTCCAACAATAGAAATTTGGACTTGAATTTTTTATGGACATTTAGAAAGATCTGAAATATTTGGTATCAAAATTTTAAAATCTACCAATTACGATCTATTCATCTAAGAATAGTAGACATATTCACCTTAAGTTCAGTGTAGTATTCTCAGAATTTCTGCAAATAATGAGTAAGTCAGTTGGGTTCAACACATCTTTGAACAGTATTCCAGTCATTTCATAGCGTGTTTGCCCGGAGAAAGCCCGAAGTGATACTTTTGCATAATTATAAGTATAATGAGTGAGTGAGTATTATTTTACGCCGTTTTTGCAATATTCGAGCAATATCATGGCGGGAGAAACCGGAAATATGGGCTTCACACATAACCCATTTGGGGAATCGAACCAGGGTCTTCTGCGTGACGAGCTAGCTAACACTTTAACCACGAGGCTACCCCCACCACACACACACACACACACACACACACCACACTGCATGGAAATAGTCGAATGTATACATATTCTATGAGCCACCAGGAAATTAATAATCTACTCAAGTGCTATATATATGTTAGTATATATTAATTACTAATATGTGAGGCTGGTAACGTAGCAGATCATTATGTTGCCGTGCTATTCCTGGAATATTGCTAAAAACGGCGTAAAAACATACTCACTCGCCAATTTGTACGACAGTTGTAAATTCTGTACCGTGCGTTTTAAAGCTATACACTATTCAGGGCATGTACTACTATTGTAAAATATAAAACGTTCATAAGAGATATATAGAACATCGATCGTCAGATACCAGAACTAGTCACTCGTTTCATAAAATTGGTATTACACGGGAGCAAGTTTAGTATTTTATTTATTACTTGCCGTTTGTAGCTTTTTTAGAATTTTCGTGTTTGAATATAGGCATGCTTATACGCGATCCACAGCATAATCCAATTGAGTTTAAAAAAACAATACTGAAACACGTATTATTTTAATACCACACAGGGACCCACTTTCAGAATTCGGGGTGCCGTGTGGCTTAAGCGGTTAACACAGCGAATATTGTACTCGAAACTCAGAATTACGCATTATAATTATTACATCTGTATGAATTTTTATCTGTGAATGAATGAGAGACCTGCTAAGTGCTCGAAGCTTACATTCATTCAAGCATTATATATAAGTAATAAATATCAGAGACCAATATTATTTTTGTAAGATCTCTGCAATTCTTTGTCAATAGTGCATGTATTAATATTCTGTGTTCTCTTCGTATCTATACATAGTCCATACGGGGTTCGATACACATTTTTTATAAGATGATGGGTAGGTATGTTGAAAACCTCAAGATGATTTTACATGGAATTGCCACCATCTTCTGTGGTACGTTTGTGTAGGGTCACGTGACACTGTCAATAAATACGCCATGAATATAGTCCATGCATAAACAATGTGAAAATGATGTGTCTTTCATTCAACTTTAAATGCCTTTCATGTATCAAGTGAGAGTTGCATACATAGTAAACATATTTCAATGAAGTATTTTCGTTAATAAATTGTTTTATCCTAACCCCTTAATTCAATATCGCTCCGCGCTGACTATATAAACCGCTGAACCCTTATTTCGACGTCTGTTGGAAAACTTGTCTCCACGCTGTCAAACACGCGCACCTGTTACGTTGACAGAGCACCGACACAAGCAAAATGGTTATTGCACTACGCAAAGTTCTCATAAGCGATGAAGTTGACCCAAAATGTGTGCAGATCTTGCAAAATAATGGAATTGAAGTGCTTAAAAATACCAAGTTGTCAAAAGAGGAATTACTCGCAGAAATACCGGTGAGTGGACACGATTACAGTGGAAGTTTACACTGACAATGACCTAAATATAATTTTATAGTGTTAGACGGACAACTATTTATATTTGCTTTTTCCTAACACGTTTGTTGAATTTTGGATGATAGATTTGCTTGATTTATCATGAATACGTTATTTTCTCTTCGTACCTATGAACGTATACAGAGACTATATACTGTATATCAAACATGTGAAACTATCATGGTCTAGGTTAATATATTTATCACTGAATTTAAGCCTGCTAATTATTATGCGTGATAATACACAAGCACAATGTGTTTAATTAGTATCCAACACTTTACAGTTGTTTTCTTTTAACTTTTCTTTTCTTGTGTAGTAGTTAGGATTGTATAAAAATTGCTATGATTCTTATGTAATGTTCTTTGAAGGGGTCAGACTCAGAGTATGTGGAGCATATTAAATATTGTGCTTGTTTTGCAAACTTGTTGAAGTGTAAATAAACTTTATTTCATTTTGTCATTGTTAGTAATTATGTTTATGTTCAAACGTACGCGTTTGAGAAAATGGATTCACCAAATTAATTTCACACTACTTTTCACAATATGTATAACTTCTTTTTTTATAGAGAAATATTGTTTAATTTTGATGCCAAGAAACGCATAGATGCACTTTACAAGTCTACCGATAGATGCTTTGAGTTCGATGAGAATAGTTATCTGGATAATAGTACACAGAAAACAGCCTGGAAAGATTTCATCACCAATCAGCTGATTTTTAGGTCAAGTCTCGGCGAAGGCAAAACCGCGGTTAACTGGGCACCGGTCTACACTAGAGATGCGCGCAAGATATCCCCGCATTGTTTGAGATAACATTAGTTCAGGCACAGCCGTGGGGTTATTGTCCTGTACGGAATTTGTCCACGACGTGTCTACCGAAAATAATGTCAGCCCGCCCCGCGCTGTTTTATCGACTATGTTCACGGCGGAGATTTCATCATCTTTACGTGTTTTTTTTGTGAGACATAATGTCTGTTTTTGCCAGATGACCTTCTCAGTCTAAATACAACAGAAACTGCTGACACAACAGCTTTGGGCTGACGCAACCGGCCGAGGCTTTGTTGGAAATGAAATTAAAGTATGCAAAACATTGAAAAATGCCTCGTAAATAAATGAATTTCTACTTCTTCATTTTTTTTATCTGTGAATATTTATTTCAAGTGTATGTTTTATGCCATTGATCATAATAGAATATTAAATATTTTTACAACTAGAGTCTAATGATAATAATAAATAAATACATGTCCACTTTTTTCATCTTTCATTGTTAATTTCAAGGGTATAATTTATGCCACTAATCATAGTGTAATAGTAATAATTATAATGTGCATATTTATAATGTGCCAAATCCACAACCTAAAGCATAAACAAAGCACTACAATATTTACCCCGGTCTCTGGATCAGAGTGCACTCGATTTTCATTCTCAGCTCCCTAAGGAGTATGCAAATAATATTGGGTCATGTTCTGAAAAAAAAAATCTTGTATGATTATGCATAATAGATCTACATTACACATACAAGTTGGTTTAGTTATAAGTTCCAAACATTCCTGATTTCCTTCATTCCAGATTGATGAGTGAGTGTATTTGGGACCATTGTGTATGTCCCAGTATATTTGGGGCAGCGTTTTCACAAACTATTTGCTATTTTATTTAAAGGAACATGAATATGTTGAATAAAAATTACTTAACTTGTATACCATGGCTGGGACGAGTCCGGATTGACTACCTGGGTATCCACACCCCTATTACCCAACCCTACCCGGGTACCCGCTGTTGGTATCAAGATGTCCGATTGGGAATAGTTTGACAGTAGCCCTGGCAGAATGTATTTAGATACACGTATAAAACGATGTGGTCATTCATCCACTGAAATTGACTGAAGTTCTAGGAACGTGTTCATAGTCATGAAGAAATGCGAACATGAGAGACTTAAAATTGTCATGTAACCATGTAGTTATATAGTGAATTTCTGTCATTAAACAACATATCACGTCACTAACCACGGGTCCGGGTAGTCCTGTGGGTACCCGGGTCCTACTCAGTACCCACCCGACCCGAGTACCTGAGTTAGCCGTCCCAGCCCTGTTATCATGGTTATATACAGAAAATTGAATTGTAATCTGATTTGTTCATGTGTCAGGAAGTGGTCTTATGGAGTGGTCGAATTAATGTTGCTGTATATTGTACACTGTTTTGAAGTATTTAAGAAAAGCCAGTGTACAAGTAGTGTTAAAATCTTGATAATATGATTTACCTAAGTGAAATTGTGACAGTTTGCAGTGAGGACTGTTACCATGGTTACTAGATGTGTCATAGTGGACCATTAAAAATTAATATTCTTATATATTCTTATAAAAATGTAGTTCTGGAAGTCCTTAAGTAAATTCATTCTAGTGTTTATAATATTGTCATAGTGCATTGGATGTGTAACAATGTTGCAGAGTGAGGACTATTGTTAGATTTGGCATCATGGACCATTCTATGACAATACATCTGTGACAACAAACTCATCCCACAGAGAGGGCACACGGTTGGCCCAGTCGTCCAAGGCGCCGCGATTCGCGGTGCAGAGTTGCGTCCCTTGGGCACGCCAGAAACCTATGATTGTGGATTGAATCCCGGTTCGCCCCGATTATGTTTCTAGGTTTGTTTTCATCATACCCGTGATCATGGGTTTCACCGAAGTCGTAAACATCTGAGACCTGCATCACTTCGGGCTTTCCTCCCACATTAACAATGATTAAGCTGACAGTGACACCCCGTGATATAACTGGAATACTGTTAAAAGCGGTGTTAAACCTAACTCACTCACTCATCCCACAGAACACAACCCTGAAGCGGGGTGTGTGTGTGTGTGTGTGTGTGTGTGTGTGTGGACTTCTCCTGTTATTGCTACATCAAATCCACAGCTGCTCTATTAAGTGCTGCTATTACTGCACACATTTACAGGGCACGTCTTTTGACTTTTTCTGTAATATATACATGAAACAGTCATGATATTTATTCATTAAAGCGACAACCAGCTGTGTCTGAAATAACCTAAACTAACAGCACTCGTGACCTGGTGTTTGGAGAGTTATTACAAGCTGTACAGCTGTAGATTGCTCAATATAATTGGAAACGCTTTTTCATGGACATGATGCAACCAACAGCTGTGGACACCTTTTCAAACTTAATTATTCCATGTGAAATAGAATAGAATATAAAAGAATATTTGATGCATTTAAAATTAACTTCGAAAGTATTTGTTTTAAAAAATACAGCTGATTAAAATATAAATGTGACAATATTGATTACTTTGTCTCCATGCTATTTACTTAAATTTTCATTGTATTTCAACAATAGACAGGTTGATTTTTTTCGTTATGTCATTGGTATGCAAATATTATGTAGAAGCCACAATAGCATATGTTTGCCATTATGTTTATTTAAGTACCCTAGAGGTAGGGGTAGAGTTGGGGGTAACTTATCTTGACTCTAGCACAACTAGCTGTGAGGATGCAAGAGGCACGCAGAAATATGTTTATTCCAATACTAAATAATTTTTCTTGATATTTTTTATAGTTTTTATGATACTATTGGACTGTTTTGGACAAAAAGAATAAGAAGTTAGTGAGGTGTGACCAATATTGCTGACAAATGTGCTTAGTTTGAAATTGAACGTCTTATTTTTTTATCATGTTTATTAGGCTAAAAACCATTATGGTAGTGTTGGTGATGCCTCTAAGCACCCAGCCTGAACCAAGCTATGGGTGAAACCGGACATCTTTCCATTTGTGTTTGTCCCCATAGTCAAGGTCACATGACTAGGATTTTCTTTGCATTGTTTTATTGAGCACAATTGGCATGTTAAATGTCACAACTAAATTAACTCATCGATTTATGTTTCAGAAATATGATGGCTTGATAGTAAGGTCAGCGACCAAAGTCACAGCCGATGTGATAAATGCTGCGACAAATTTGAAGATCATTGGTCGAGCAGGGACTGGCGTAGACAACATAGACTGTCAAGCTGCAACCCGGAGAGGGGTCATTGTCATGAAGTAAGTGTGGTCACAATTTGTGACCACAATCATGATATCTAAGCACAATCATGTTCATGAGGAAATCTAAGCATGATCATGTTCATGAAGATATGTAAGCACAATCATGATCATGAAGATATGTAAGCACAATCATGTTCATGAGGAAGTCGAAGCACAATCATGTTCATGAGGAAGTCGAAGCACAATCATGTTCATGAAGATATGTAAGCACAATCATGTTCATGAAAATATGTAAGCATGATCATGTTCATGAGGATATATAAGCACAATCATGTTCATGAAAATATGTAAGCATGATCATGTTCATGAGGATATGTAAGCACAATCATGTTCATGAAAATATGTAAGCACAATCATGTTCATAAAGATATATAAGCACAATCATGTTCATGAAAATATGTAAGCATGATCATGTTCATGAGGATATTTAAGCATGATCATGTTCAAGAGGAAATCTAAGCACAATCATATTCATGAGGATATTTAAGCATGATCATGTTCAAGAGGATATGTAAGCACAATCATGTTCATGAGGATATTTAAGCATGGTCATGTTCATGAGGATATTTAAGCACAATTGTGTTTATGAGGATATTTAAGCACAATCATGTTCATGAAAATATGTAAGCATGATCATGTTCATGAGGATATTTAAGCACAATCATGTTCATGAGGATATTTAAGCATGGTCATGTTCAAGAGGATATTTAAGCACAATCGTGTTCATGAGGATATTTAAGCACAATCATGTACAAGAGGAAATCTAAGCATGATCATGTTCATAATATGAAAGCACATGATTTGTGGACATTTTGATACTATGTAGTAACATCAGGCTTTCCATCAACATTAAGGGGACACATGATAGGACTGACATACTGTCCCAAGTGGCTGGCTGTTTTCTGACAATAGTTTCTCTGTTTTAGCACACCTGGCGGGAACACGTTGAGCGCTGCTGAACACACCTGTGCCTTGATTATAGCTATGACAAGGTGAGCCTCTGAATTAGGAGTGATGGTGGTGAAAATGGGTCTCAAGACTATCGCACTTGTATAGTGATGTGCATGCTTGTGTGTGAGAGTGTCTGAGTGTCTTCTTTTCCTAGTCTGGATTACAGTGCCAGCCTACTGAGATACCATGCCACAGTTTTACATGAATACCCCACTCAGACAAATTATACGGACTCAAAGTCGACCAGTCTGTTTCTTCCCCTTCATGCTGAGCGCCAGGCTGAGTAACAAGCACCATCTTTTCTTTGGTATGACGCTCCAGGGATTGAACCACCAACTTACGCTCTCTGGGCAGGTGCTCTATCCGCTTGGCTACGGAGGCGTCCTCTATTATGAAGATTCTGGGATGTGTGCCTTGTGTTGCCTACTGTGTAATTTTGGGTACTTTATGACTGTTAGTCATGCCTCTTGGATTGGTTATTCCACTGGCTTTGATGTGGTTAGTCTAACACCATCTTCCTGGGGCAAGGGTGTTAACTTACACTTTCCAGTAGACTAACATTTAGTCTCTGAAATCTTATATTACACAATATCCTTCTTGACTCTAAAAATAAAAATAAAATTCCCTATGCTGATTTCAGATTTGTGGAATAGAGCTAGCTTGAGCTGGCTAGAGTTGCTTTTGTATGCATTTCTAGATTATGTTTTTTTGATAAAATAAATATATTCCACGGTCATGGTGCAGGACTAACTTTCCAGTTTCCTCCATTGCAGAACTAGGCTGGAATTTATTGGGCTTGATCGTATTGCCACCAGGGGCGATTACGAGTTATGACCCTTCTTTGTCCCTCCTATTGACCAATAAGATTCCATCTCTCATATCACATACATTTGTCAAGATGATCTGGTCAATAATCAAGACCTTTATTGTGAAAAAAACCTGTCTTATCTCACGAAGTGCATCAAATCGCTTGAACTCCTTTGTTAAAAACATGAAAAGATTTGAAAAATATCTGTCGACGCCCAGTTGACTGCACACATGCTCTGCAAATCCTGCAATCAACCCAAATCTGCATGGCAGTCGCCATGTTGTTTAATCACGCGATTTTGATTGGACTATGCATAGACTCGTTAGTCCAGCCAAAACATAACTCCATAATTGACGCCTAGTTAGGGAAGGGTGGAAGCTGGACTTTTACTGTTAATTAACTCCCTTGCCCTGAGAGATGATCGAACACTTTGAGCTAACTAAAGTGGTGAACAGAATGCTTGTTTCCTAAATTTCACATGGAGACACTCAATTTGTTTCAGGGGCGGTCGGGTAGCCTAGTGGTTAAAGCGTTCGCTCGTCACGCCGAAGACCCGGGTTCGAGTCCCGACATGGGTACATTGTGTGAAGCCCATTTCTGGTGTCCCCCGCCGTGATATGGCTGGAATATTGCTAAAAGCGGCGTAAAATCATACTCACTCAATTTGTTTCAGAACAACTTTTTCCACATTTGCCAAAATAATTTTAAAAACATTTCTATAAGTGTTAATTCTTTTATTAAAAGTCAAGTGGTTATAGCTCCTATACTGTGCCACTTGTCAGATTTCCTTTATCAGGAACCTAGCAACCATTTGGGGAACAGGAAAAGCCTGATTTAGATGAAATTTAATATCATTCCACATTTCAAACATTTGGGGTTGGCAGATACATAAACCACTAATTAAGAAAACTGGTCCGTTTTTGAAAAAGAAGTATGATGTGGATGTTTCAGGGAGCTGTCTTTAGCCGCTCAGTCCATGAAAGAAGGAAAGTGGGACCGGAAGAAGTTCATGGGATCGGAACTCAACGGCAAAACACTGGGAATTATTGGTCTGGGAAGAATAGGGAAAGAAGTGGCTCAAAGAATGCAGTCTTTTGGAATGAGGGTAACGACCTGACTCATACTGTTGTAGGGCTCGGGTGGCCCAGTCGTCTAAGTGCAGAGTTGCGTCCCTTGGGCACGCCAGGAACCTGTGATTGTGGTTCACCCCGATTATGTTTCTCGGTTTGTCAGCACCATACCCGTGCTCGGGATTTGACCAAAGTGTTAAATGTCTAAGATCTGCATCACTTCGGGCTTTCCTCCCACAATAAGCTGACACACTGTGATATAACTGGAATCCTGTTTAACCCACTCACTCACAGTTTTTAATAAGAGACTTGGCCTCGTTTACATCACATTGTCATGTAGATAATCTCATTTAATTCAGAACTTTTGCTTCAATGTGATCTCTCTGTGGCTGACGATTTGAATACACTTTCACAGAATGTCGAACCTGGTGAACTTTTTAATCAGCGAGATTGTAGTTTGCTGAAACTTCAAGTGCGCTTTAAATATTTGGTATAGTGGGAGTAAACTATCACAGTTTCTCTTTGATGATGTGAGACTTGACACCAAGATAGATATACAGCTGTCAATACTTTGTTGTATAGGGGCGGTGGGGTAGCCTAGTGGTCAAAGTGTTCGCTTTTCATGCCGAACACCGAGGTTTGATTCCCCTCATGGGTATAATGTGTGAAGCCCACTTGTGGTGTCACCTGACGAGACATTGCTGGAATATTGCTAAAAGTGGCGTAAAACCACATTCACTCACTCTTAGATGTGCTACGTATCAATACACATGGACACGTTCTGGGTACCTTGTTGCTATTTTTAACCACAGCCTGGCCCTAGAAAGAGAGTATTAAGTCAGTGAGCTCCGAGACCAATGAGTGCTCAGAATACATCGCACAACCAGCGATATTTCTTGGCAAAAGTGCCTCAGCCTGTCATCTGTTTACACACTGGTTCAGTGTCCGGCAGTGATAGTGTTTGCATGGAGGCGTAGCGCTCATGTGCCTTGTGTGAATTATACGTGGCCTTATTTCATTAGCTGACTTAAAATAGACATTGATGATGCTAACAGGTGTTTGCTCCTTGCCCTGAAGACTTGGGTTTGATAGGTGAAATATGTGACGATCATTTGAGGTATTCCCATGCTGTGATATGGCTGGAATATTGGTGGAAGATTGCTGTGATATTGCTGTGATATGGCTGGAATATTGGTGGAATATTGCTGTGATATGGCTGGAATATTGCTATGATATGGCTGGAATATTGGTGGAATATTGCTGTGATATGGCTGTAATATTGGTGGAATATTGCTGTGATATGGCTGGAATATTGCTGTGATATGGCTTTAATATTGGTGGAATATTGCTGTGATATGGCTGTAATATTGGTGGAATATTGCTGTGATATTGCTGTAATATTGGTGGAGTATTGCTGTGATATGGCTGGAATATTGTTAGAAATATTGCTGTGATATGGCTGTAATATTGGTGGAATATTGCTGTGATATGGTGGGAATATTGGTGAAATATTGCTGTGATATGGCTGGAATATTGGTGGAATATTGCTGTGATATGGCTGGAATATTAGTGGAATGTTGCTGTGATATGGCTGGAATATTGCTGTGATATGGCTGTAATATTGGTGGAATATTGCTGTAATATTGCTGTGATATGGCTGTAATATTGGTGGAATATTGCTGTGATATGGCTGTGATATGGCTGGAATATTGGTGGAAGTGACATTAGGCCCACCCACTCATTAGGATAGCTGTATTTCCGTCTTTGTAGATGCTACAATGACATTTTTTCTGCACAGACAATAGGATATGACCCCATTATCGGAGGTGATGTCAGTTCCGAGTGGAACGTTGAATGGCTGCCCATGGAACAAATCTGGCCTCAAGTCGACTACATCACTGTTCATACCCCACTCATCCCACAGACAAAAAGTAGGTCAAACATAAATATTTAAATTACCGTATGTGCCTAAATAACCACCCAGCACTTAAAGATTTGACGAAGGGGAGCATTTATTTTAACCATATACAACAATTTCAGATAGAGCGGGATCCTGACAGAAAGCGCAGATAAAGCTTTTTGGAAAAGCGGGGATCCACTTAAAAAATGCTCGCACATAATTCGGGAAACAATTCCTTTTGTTAGGCATAAAGCAGGCCAGAATTGAAATTTGTTTTGTAAACCTGGCACCAAATGAATTAGTTATGTACCGTATTTTCTTCAGTATAGTGCACACTTTTTTCCAAAAAACACAGAGGTGTAGAAGGGGGTGCGCATTATACAGGCATTATGAGTTTTGATGTTTTTTTCCCCCCATGGAAAGACATTACCGTGAGCACGTAACACCAAAATATTGAATCCGCTAGAGGGGGGTGCGCATTATACATGGGTGCGCACTATACTCAAGAAAATACGGTAGTTTTCCTACCTCACCGTGATAAGAGTGCTTTGAAAAAAGAGTGTGCAGCTTTAGAAATTGGCACTAGTCCTGTAGTCCTTGCCAGACTGCCCAATAGTTAAGGTATCGTAAGGACTGGTCAAAATTTGCCATTATTAAAGGTTTTACTGTATGTTACCATTATAAGGACTAGTGGACTAAAACAGTTAGTTTCTAACACTGGGTGCGCTCATCCTGTCCCCCACCCTCTCCCTAACTTTTGGATCAACATCTGGACAGTGACAGGTGGTGTCTTATAAGTTGCCCTGTTGCTGTTTCAGACTTGATCAATGACACAGTGTTCAGTGTGTGTAAGAAGGGCGTGCGGGTGGTCAACTGTGCCCGAGGCGGCATCATTGATGAGGAGGCGTTGCTGCGGGCACTGGAATCAGGACAGTGTGCCGGTGCTGGTCTGGATGTATTTGTGGAGGTAAAAATGAAATTTCATTACATTTGCATTTGACACGACAAGATTTTTCTGTGTTGTATCACTTTAGTTTGTTCATATTATGGGGGACCGCCTCCGTGGTCTAGTGTAGAGCGTCCGCCCGGAGAGCCGAAGGTTCGGGGTTCGATCCCGACCGCGTCATGCCAAAAGACGTTAAAATATGGTACTTGTTGTTACCCTGTCTGGCGCTCGGCATTAAGGGGCTAAAACAAGGACTGGTCGGCTCGGAGTCAGTATACTGTGTCTGAGTGGGGTATTCATGTTAAACTGTGGCATGGTATCTCAGTGAGCTAGCACTATAAATCGGCATCAGTCCGGACTAGTACAAGCAGCCACACAAACACGAACACGTACATGCACGTCGCTATATAAGTGCAATAATCTTGGATGTGACGTTAAACCCCATTTCACCTTACCTCTTATTATGGGTGCTTCAAGATGTTGTTCAAACCAGGACATCAAGTGAAACATGTTTAGTATCAAAATTCATTTTCCAGAGGCAACGGTGTTAACTGACTGTGAAAGTCCAGTTTCCACTTGCTGAACTAGGCTGGAATATCTGGGCTCGATTATAGCAGCACCAGTGGCTATTACGAGTTATAACCCGTCTACGTCCCTCCTATTGACCAGTCGGGGTGATCGGGTAGCCAAGCTAGGGGTTGAAGTGTTCGCTCGTCATGGCGAAGACCTGGGTTTGATTCACGACATGGGTACAATGTGTGAATCCCATTTCTGGTGTCCCCCGCCATGATATTGCTAAAAGCGGCATAAAACCATACTCACTCGCTCACTCACACTCAGGTTCAATCTCTCATATCACTTGCATTTGTTTCAAACAAAATGGTGGCGCCCAGTCAAGACGCTCTGATTGATAATCAAAATCTCTTTTGTAATAAAATGGGTGTTACCACGAGAAGTGCACCAAATCACTTGAGCACCTTCATTAAAAACCTGAAAAGATTTGCAAAATATCTGTTGACACCCAGTTGACAGTACACATGGTTTGCAAATCCTGCAGTCATCCTGTATGTTTAAATCCATGTTGTTTAGGAACCATGTTGTGTAGTTGGTTGCACGATTTTGATTGGACTATGCATAGACTCGTTAGTCCAGCCAAAATGTAACTCCGGAATTCCAGCCTAGTTTGGCAAGGGTGGAAACTGGACCTTTATAGTCAGATCAAAATTATGCTGTCTTGAGGGTTTGGAATTCATTCATAAACATTCTCTCGCTTTTTCTTTGACAATGATGAGCAAATAATCAATAGATGAGTAAGACATGTGTAAGTCACAAGTACATGATTAGCTGTTAGTTATATACAAATATAAACTTGGTGAGTGGGAAAAATTATATAAATTTTAATAATTTATGATTGTAGTATTGTTCCTTGATAGCCATTTGAACATGGTACAGTGGGTTCAGTGGTATTTGTTTAAACCTGATGTCTTGCAGTCTACTCTGTTTGACCCACAAAATAAATTATTATTATATTTGATTTTTTTTATTTTTCAATTTTTTTAGTAAATCTGTGAAAACAATTTTACGGATTACCCACTCACCCACAAATAACCTGCTCATTCACCATATACACACTCACTCACATGTTCACTCAGATAAACACTCACTCATTCACTCACTCACTCAATACCTACACACTCACTCACTCAAATCTCACTCACTCACTCAAATCTCTCACTCACTCAAATCTCTCACTCACTCACTCACTCACTCAAATCTCACTCACTCACTCACTCAAATCTCACTCACTCACTCAAATCTCACTCACTCACTCAAATCTCTCACTCACTCACTCACTCACTCACTCACTCACTCAAATCTCACTCACTCACTCACTCACTCAAATCTCTCACTCACTCACTCACTCACTCACTCACTCACTCACTCACTCACTCACTCACTCACTCACTCACTCACTCATGTATGTGGCAGGAGCCCCCAAAGGACTCTCCCATAGTGAAGCACCCGAAGGTAATCGCCACGCCTCACCTTGGGGCCAGCACGACGGAGGCACAGACCCGGGTTGCCGAGGAGATCGCCCAGCAGTTTGTGGATCTCACCAAGGGAACCAGTCTGTTTGGAGCGGTGAGTTCATGTTCAGTGTCTCTTTATAACTTGCCTTAAAGGGTTCTCATGTGATTAAAATCCAGATTATATACAACATATTCTTGTGTGAACTGTGACATGGTATCTCAGTGTGCTTGCACTATAGAAATGGCTTGTCCAGGCTAGTTAAAGCAGCCACACTCATGTGCATACACGTTGCTTTATAATGACAATTACTTCTTTTTCTTATCCCTAATTTCCGGGGTAGAATAGGTCTTTAGCAACCCATTCTTGCCGTAAAAGGCGACTATGCTTGTCGTAAAAGGGATCGGGTGGTCAGGTGCACTGACTTGGTTGATACATTTCATCGATCCCAGTTGCGTGGATCGCTGGTCATGATGTCAATCACTGGATTGTCTGGTCCAGACTCGATTATTTTACAGACTGCCATCATATAGCTGGAATATTGCTGAGTGCAGCGTTAAACAACAAACCAACCAACCCAACTCTTATCCCTAATGCGACATCAAACCACATTTTTAATTTATTATTTAACTGTATCTCAGAGGGCTAGTACAATAAAACCAGTATTAGTTCAGACTTGTTAAAGCATCCACACACGTTATATATGTACAAAAATCTTGAACACAAACCCATTTCACCTCCCCTCAACTAAATTTCGTATTTTGTATTTGTTTGTGGTATTACTGCTGATGGTGGTGTTGATGGGGATGAAGATGTCACATTCTATTGCAGATAAATGCCCCTGCCCTGGCTAATGCCCTGAGTCCCGAGACGAAACCCGTGGTCAGTTTAGGAGAGGGCCTGGGCAGTCTGGCTTCGGCTATCGGAGGCGGCAGCGCTAAGAGTGTCCAGCTCACGACTTACGGTAATGCCTTAGATTGAGTGAGTGAGGTGGGTTTTAGCCCCTTAGAACAGCTTCAGTTCTATCTCATGTTAGCTTAATATGGGAGAAGACCCATGAAGATGCGGGGTAGAATAGCTCTTCAGCAACCCATGCTTGCTGTAAAAGGTGACTGTGCTTGTCATAAGAGGCGACTAACGGGATTGGGTGGTCAGGCTTGCTGACTTGGTTGATGCATGTCATCGTATCGTGGGTCGATGCTCATGATATCAATCACTGGATTGTCTGGTCCAGACCCGATCATTTCCAGACCGGCGCCATAGAGCAGGAATATTGCTGAGTGCGGCATTAAACAACAAACAAACAAACAATATGGGAGAAAGACCTAAATGAAGCAAGTCTTTCAAGTTCACCATGGGCACAGATATATTGCTCACAAACTGAGAGGGGGGCACGGGTTGCCCAGTCGTCTAAGGCGCCGCGATTCGCTGTGCAGAGTTGCGTCCCTTGGGCACGCCAGAAACCTATGATTGTGGGTTCAGTCCCGGTTCGCCCCGATTATGTTTCTAGGTTTGTCAGCACCATACCCGTGCTCGTGGGTTTCACTGAAGTGGTAAACGTCCGAGACCTGCATCACTTCGGGCTTTCCTCCCACAATAAGCAGACACGCCGTATGACTGGAATACTGTTAAGTGGCGTTAAACCCAACTCACTCACTCACTCACACTCACAAACTGAGGATCATAATCAGGGCAAATGCGGGATTCAAACCCATGATTGATGGCAATGGTAGCCCAGTCGTCAAAGGCACTGAAATCCGCTGTGCAGAGTTGCGTCCCTTGGGCACGCCAGAAACCAATAATTGTGGGTTTGAATCCAGATTTGCCCTGATTATGTTTCTAGGTTTATCAGCACCATATTTGTGCTTGTGGGTTTCACCCAAGTGATATATGTCTAAGACCTCCTACATCAAGCTGACACGCTGTGGTATAATGGACTACTGTTCGAAGGGGGGGGGGGGGGGGGGGTGAAAGCAACTCAATCACTCACTCGACCCCCATCATCATAACATTTTGGCACACCTAAGAGATGCAGTTCAGCACAGTGAGTTAAAACGAATGGTCCAAATCTGCCTTCATAATGTCTTTGATGTAGATTGATTCAAATGTAATTATGATGAATTGAGAACAGCTGTAATCACATTATCAGGATTGTGGCAGTGTTAGAAATTGGCACTAGTGCTGAAGTCCTTGCCAAACTGCCAATAGTTAAGGTATCATTAGGACTAGTAGAAATTTGCCCTTTTTTTTAGGGTTTTGCTCTATCTTGTCATGAGGGCACGGGTGGCCCAGTCGTCTAAGGTGCCACGATTCGCTGTGCAGAGTTGCATCCCTTGGGCACGCCAGAAACCTATGATTGTGGGTTTGAATCCTGGTTTGCCCCGATTATGTTTCTAGTTTGTCAACACCATACCCTTGCTCGTGGGTTTAACGGAAGTGGTAAACGTCTGAGACCTGCATCACTTCAGGCTTTCCTCCCACATTAAGCTGACATGCTGTGATATAACTGGAATACTGTTAAAAGCGGCATTAAACCCAACTTGCTCATTCACTCACTATGTTGTCATTTTAAGGTTAGTGGATTAAAACTTTTAATTTGTATTGATGATTGTGGCGAATATTTCCTTATTGTATACTGATCAAAAGAAGTAAAGGACCACCCAATGTTTGCATATTACTATGGTTTATTACTTGCCCGTGAAGAGATCACCCGTTTAATAAACATACAGCTTTATTACACATTGTGTAATACCAAAACGCGTGCTTATGTACTCTCGGAACACGTTTCACAAACAAATATTGAAAGCTCTCAACATCCCTTGGCGTATTCAACGACATTGTGTGTGGAGATGATAGATCACTGGGAGGAGCTTATGCACACTCGATGACCCCAGCAACCTTGTTGCTAGGCTGAAGTCACATGGCATTGTTTCGCCGATGGATCTTGCAACAAAATTCAACAAATTACGTCATCGGGTATTGTGACGTGATTGTAAACTTTGAGGTGCAAGGCCCCGTTCCACAAGGCGATCGTACTCTAGCGCAACGACAGTGGTTAGTCTAAGTTAAATTATGTGAGTTGTGATAGCCTTAGCACTACGATAATTTTGTGGGACGAACGCCTGAATTCTAAAGGTGGACCATTGTATGATATTAAATTCATACGTTTCAACTTTTGACGTGTTTGAAGTATTATTCTGTTAAACTCAATTGGATTATGCCATGGATCGTGTCGGTGTCAGCCTATTTACACTCAACAGTATAATCCTAAAAACATTATAAATGACAAGTAATAAATAAAATACTAAACTCGCTCTCGTGTAAAACCAATTTTATGAAACTCGTGAATAGTTGTGGTATCTGACTCGCTTTCGCTCGTCAGATACCAGAACTATTCACTCGTTTCATAAAATTGGTATTACACGGGAGCTCGTTTGGTATTCTATATTTATCTGTCAGGGCTTGATCAACTAACGATTGTGACATGAAAGAATAAAGCAGTCGCTGACGGATTTTGAGTGGTATATGTGGATTTTTGTTGTGAATTTACATCTTTCAAGTAATACCACAGTAGTCTTTGTCTACTGAAAAATGAATTCAATTAACAAAATAGAAGACAGACTAACTTTTTATACATATTTCAGTATCAAGTGCATCTAACTTTTTTTCGAGATGTAAATAGATTGGGTTTTTTTAGGTGTTAATAGATTGGTGGGTTTTTTAGGTGTCAATAGATTTGGTTTTTTTTTTCAGTGTTAATAGATTGATTTCTTTTTTTTAGATGTAAATAGATTGGATGCTAGCAATGGGATTGTTGTGTGGTTTAGGTGTTGTCAAGCTGAACTTTTGAGGACTCACGTGTGTACTGTGTGATATTGCTGGAATGGAATATGGCTGAACCCTACTTACTAGACTCCAATAAAAACATTTCCAGGTTCGTCGCTGAGCAATGCGGGGAAGTATCTGAATGCAGCATTGTTGGCCGGCTTCCTACGCAACCAGGGATCAGGCGACAAGGCACAGCTCAACCTCGTCAACTCACCTGTACTAGCCAAGGAGGCAGGCCTAGAGGTGAGTTATCAAATTGCCTGTACTAGCCAAGGAGGCAGGTCTAGAGGTGCCCCCTGTGGCGATTCCGGGTTTACTCTACCATTAACAAACTGCCCCCCGTTGGGATTCTGGGTTAACTCTACCATTAACACACAGCCCCCCGTTGGGATTCTGGGTTAACTCTACCATTAACACACAGCCCCCTGTTGGGATTCCATGTTAACTCTACCATTAACATACAGGCCCCTGTTGGGATTCCATGTTAACTCTACCATTAACTCACAGCCCCCGCGACTTTACTGTAAATTAATGAGACTCCCTCCATGATTTATCCACTGCTGCCTTCCGTCTTTCCAGGTTGTTGTAAAACATGAAGATGCCGTCCCAGGGTCCTACAGCAGTCTTGTTGCCGTGACGATACAGACTAGCGGGGGACCCATCACAATTAAAGGAACCGTGTCTGGCTCCAGCGCCACTCTGGTGGAGATCCAAGGTGCCACCTTCTCCATCCCCCCAGTTCTCAGAGGACCGGCCTTAGTTTTCAAGGGAAGCAACTCTTCTCTGCTGTCAGTAGCAAGTAAGTGCAACTGGATGTGGCTGAAACCTCACTCCTGATTCCTTGTTAGATACTGTCCCCAGAAACCAACGCTTGTTGTAAGAGGCGACCAAATGGATCGGATGGCCAGACTCGGTGACATGTCTCCAAACCACGACAGTGTTGATCATTGCTCACAATAGTGATCACTGATTGTCTGGTCCAGACTAGATTAATTACAGGCGGCTATCACAGTGCCAGGCTGCCATCAGAACCCACAGTCTTCAGAAGCTGAAGACCCTGTGTAAACATTGAGTTCCTCATTTAAAAAACTACAGCTTCATAACTTGACATGTAATTTGCTGTAGGCCATAACAACCCATACAAATTTGAAACTGTAGGCCCGACACAAGATTACCTGCCACGGTCGACAGGCAGGCGCTGCACTATGATACAGCTGGAATATTGGTAAATAATCGAGTCTGGACCAGACAATCCAGTGATTAATATCATGAGCATCGATCCACTCAATTGGGATTGATGACATGCATCAACCAAGTCAGCGAGTCTGACCACCCGATCCAGTTAGTCGCCTCTTCCGATAAGCATAGTCACCTTTTACGGTAAGCATCTTCACGGGTCTATAGCGGGTATATTGCTGAATGTGGTGTTAAATAATAAACACTCATTCATGTTCCTCAAATGGGAATTTCGATTCAGAATAGGTCCGCAACAACCCATTCTGTTTACAAAGGGTGACCATATTTATGTGAGTGGTCAGGATCAGTGTCTTTTTTGATTGTGTGTAATCGTAACTGAACTTTGTGTATTGTTGCTCATGATATCGATCACTGTATTGTCTACTCCAGACTTGATTATGTACTGTCCGCTGTAGTTAATATATTGCTGAATGTGGTATTAAACAACAAACAAACATTTATTATTCATGTGTGTTTTCAGATGGCCTGGAGAAGGTCGGGTCGAGACTGACAAGCCTGTCTCTATCTCAAGAGGTAGATTCTACCCAGTGGGGCGTCGTCCACCTGGACAAGCCAATCAACAGCAGCTTCAAAACTGTCGAGAACTCACTGCTGGCTGCACACCAGATTGTGTTTTAGAAATCGGTAGTTACATTGACTCCAATCTTGTTATGTAATACAAAATATCTGTTGTAGTGTTCAGTGTTTTGCTTTTTATTTCTGGCTGAACTCACTAGTGCTGAGGTTGTGTGATCTGTGGTTAGAATAGGTTCCTCGAAACCTCTGCTTGTCGTACAAGGGCTTGTACAGTGTAACAGAGGTCAGGCTCTCTGGCTTTATTGACTGCATGTCATTGTATCCCAACACCGTGGATGGGTGCTCATGATATCAATCACTGGTGTGCCTGGTCCACACTTGATGGTTGACAGTTTAGCCTATAGCTGGAATATTGCTGAGTGTGGTGTACAACATCAATCAAGTCAAATCTGTTAAGGGAGACGATGCTTCTTGCACTTTAGGCCACTTGACTGTGAATGGTCATTTGCTGTGTAATTTGAAAAATTGTTAACTGTAAGAATTTTGCTTGTCAAAGATCATAACCTCAAGCATAGTAGCATGACTGCTTTCTAACATCTGTAGGGACCAGGCTGCCAAATTCGTACACTTGTACCCTGCCCGTCGCACATCTGCAGGTGCGCAACAGAGGCAAGGGACCTGTCTACCCAATTCGCTTTGCAGTTAAATACAAGCGACAAAACCCTTTCCATAGTCGCTGCCAATTGTACGATTCCACGATTCTGACTTTATCATGAGCATGTTATCATGAGAGTTACGTCTCTTAGGCGAAACAAAAACTTTGATCTCCATAAAGGTCTAAGACCTGCATCATTTCGGGCTTTCGTCCCACATGGGTGACTCGTGATGACATAGAAATATTGTTCAAAGTGGCGTTCTAGAAACTTCAGTCGACAGTATTAACCGACAGAGTGATATTTGACCGCCCATTCTAAATGAAGAATGCGTGATGATTTGAGCCAATCAAATGTCAGTTTTCTAAAACAATTCGGTTTTGTTTTATTTACAATCCCTATTCGGAAATATCCATTTTAACCATATGATGGCGTGGCTCTATTTATAATCACATGGTGCGGCAGATGTAGGATATAGGAGTTTATCCGTCCGCCCGTCCGTCCATCCCGTTCTCAAAGGGGACACATTTTCTCAAAAACTATTTAAGTTCGAGAAATGAAATTTTACACACTGATGTTACTGGTCATTATCTCAAATGAGTTCGAAAATTAGTGTCTTAAATTCATTTTTACAGTGTAATGGTCCTTGCTATGTGCTTTTCAACGTTATGCATAGTGTGTGCAATGGGGACATGTTTTCTTAGAAACTATTGAAGTTACATGAATGAACATTTGCCTGCTTATCTGAGAGAAAATTAATCCTGCCAGTTATTTTTAGAGAGTTATGTCCCTTGCTACGTGCTTTTCAGCTTAGTGCATACTGTGTGAAATGGGGACAAGTTTTCTCAGAAGCTATACGTGAATAAAAGTTTGCATGCTTGTCTTGGAGATACTTCAAGTGTCCATACAGTTCGAAAACTGGTCCTGTAAACTTATTATTTTTTCGAATTATGGCCCTTGATCCATGTTATTTTACTTGGTGATGGTGTCTGCAATGGGGACAGGTTTTCTCAGAAACTACCGAAGTTAGCTTATCAAAGAGAAGACTGAGTTATTTTTTCCAGAGAAGTTGCCGTTTTGTGTATTTATTACACATTTATTACACATTTATTTATTTTTTCGGATGACAAAAAGTTGCCCATCTCAAGTTAAGGCTTCATAGGACCTTTTTTATAGTTTCTGTTCTCTACTATATAAAGAAACAAAATTCTAATGTTCCACATGGTGGGGGATAGTGATAACGCTGTTTTCTTGTCTACATTCGGGACTGGTCGTTTAAAGTTCATTTTTCGAGATACAGAAATCAGATATGTTGCTTCAAATGCTTCGCTCTCTCTAACTTAGAACTCAGAAGCCTCGATGTTGATTGACTGATTAGAAATTACCGGTGTCGTCAGATCTACATACCGAGAGGTATCATATCGAAATTAAAAGATCTGATTTTAACGAGATTGTGATCAACTTCAAATTCACTTTTACTTTTAGTTGAAACGGGAGTAAAATATCACAATTTCTCTTTTGATCTTTTTATCTTTAGCCAAACTAAAAAAGTATCCTGTCTGTGATCAATATATTGTTATCTACCATCTACCTGAGACCCGTGAAGATCCGGGGTAAAATAGGTCTTCAGCAACCCATGCTTACTGTAAAAGGCGACTATGCTTGGTGTAAGAGGCGACTTAAGGGATCGGGTGGTCAGGCTCGCTAACTTGGTTGATGCATGTCATCGGTCCCAATTGCGTGGATCAATACTCATGTTGTCAATCACTGGATTGTCTGGTCCAGACTCGATTATTTACAGACCGCCGTCATATTGCTGGAATATTGCTGTGTGCGGCGTTAAACAATTAACCAACCAATTATAGTATCAGTACGTTTTATATTATCAGTTTTCCGATTCCTATAACATGCATGTCAGTGGACCTTACCAGGTGATCAGAAAATATAGTTACCGTATTCGACGTAATAAGCCCTGTCTCAAAATTAGGAATAGGGGGCTCCTATTCGAATATTATTTTGGTGAAAAAAACAGCGTTGAAAGCTTAATTTCGTGGTCTATGCTGACAGCCTGAAATGTTTATGTACGACAGATATATTTTTCCAGAATTGCATTCCCCATAATTAAGGGTGCATATAACACACGAGTGTGTATTATACGCGAATAAATAAGTCTTGTGTACATTGATCAATTGGAAGGGGTGCTAATTGGGATTGCTTACTAGCCAACATATTAGCAAATATCGCCATGGGCGCTTATTAGAGCGGGGCGCTTTTTACGTCGAATACGGTATTGCCTATGCATCGCAGCATGGTTGACCGAGTTCAACGCTTACTTTGTAGAGAGTTTTCAGGTTTTGAGTTTGTCTAAAATGTTTTGATTGTTTGATTGTAAGAAATGATTGCTTGATGTACAGCCATAGTTGAAGTATTGTCGTATTATTACGTGTCTACATCTTAATATGGATATTGCAAGTTAATATTGTTAATGGGGTTCAACGTCGCGCTCAAGAATGCTGCATTTATATAGCAACGTGCATATACACGTGTGTGTGTGGCTGCTTGTACTTGCACGGACTTATGTCTATTGTATGGTGCTAGCCCACTGAGATACCATGCCACAGTTAAACATGAATACCCCTCTCAGACACAGAAAACTGACTCCGAGCCGATCAGTCCTTGTTTTATCCCCTTAATTCCGAACGCCAGGGTAACAACAAGGACCATCTTTTAGCGTCTTTTGGTATGTCGCGTCCGGGAATTGAACTCCCGACCTCCCGCTCTCTGGGCAGGCGCTCTACAACTAGACCACGGTGGCGGTGCTAGCCTATTTACAACCGATCTGGTATTTATGTATTCTGAAGAAGTAAAACTTTGCTTAAAAATGGTGTTTTAATTGTTTGACTGTTTTTGTTCATGTGAACATTTGACTTGCCTTTGCATGTGTTCGTGATGCGTGTCACATGTGGGGCAGGGTACGCGAACATCTGATATCATAACTATTTGATAGTGATTCATAAGCACTGGCTTATGATATAGTCGGTATCGTACAATGGACTAGTTTTAGCAGAGATTTAGTTCTACACAATCGGATTACGTGATGAGGCAGTGGTTTTGGATAACAGTAACCCTATTTCCAGATTGTCTGATCAAGTATCACAATCAATAATCTGCTAAAACTGGAATCACATATATGAAATATCAGTTTGTAGTCATTATACTTTTGTCAGCAAATATAACACAGTATGAGATCCCCAGCCGCGTCATACCAAAAGGACGTTAAAAGATGGTTCTTGTTGTTACCCTGCAGTTTGGATACAATGACATGCATCAACCAAGTCAGTGAGCCTGACCACCCGATGCCGTTAGTCGCCTCTTACGACAGGCATAGTCGCCTTTTACGACAAGCATGGGTTGCTGAAGACCTATTCAACCCCGGATCTTCACAGGGCTGGGGATATGTTCATTCATCAATCGACTTAACGATCTCCCCATTCGTTCAGCTCCCCTGTCCAGTTTGGCTGACATATCAAACCGGTTTGACCGATATTAAAACAAAGATACCTAAAAGGTACAAAAAGTCATGCGGTTCCAAAACGATTAGGGGCTGTCGGGTAGCCTAGTGATTAAAGCGTTCAATCGTCACGCCGAAGACCCGGATTCGATTCCCGACATGGGTACAATGTGTGAAGCCCATTTGTGGCGTCCCCAGCCGTGATATTGCTAGAATATTGCTAAAAGCATCGTAAAACAATACTCACGCCAATACGATTATGTATGGTATTTCTCTGAACCGGTTTTGAATCTATATACACCGGTTTCTCTCATCTACCCAAACCGGTTTCTTAAAGTAGTTTGATGCGGCAACAGAACCGTCACCTGTAAAACAAAAGTTTATTCAAATATTCTGATCTTCCAGCCAGACAATCGGTCTAATCAACTTCTAATAACAATAGTACACTTTTAGCTTATATGGCACACGTACAGTGTTGGTTTTACGACAACGCTGAACGACGACCTACTTATGAACGCCCTGTAAAAGCTGTTAATAAAATCTCATTCAACAACATGTTAATATCGTGAATGGCTACCACGAGACGGTGAGCGTTGTTGACTGTGCGATCACGTGGCGCTGTCTAGGTAACGAACTGTTGATAACGCTCCGATAAACCGCGCAGACTGTCATATGCCTGTGTGTAGTTAATGATAACGATTAATGCTGTTTTGACTCCGTGAAGATTCGTCGCTGCGGTCAACGCGTCCCGGACCTTGGAAATATGGAACAATTAATGGAACTCGTAGACGCCAGATATGTCCGAAATTTTCAAGAATTTTGCGGAATACAACCCCAAGAGCACTGCCGAGCTGAATCCAGGGTCAGTGGATTTGTACCCCCCACCCAAAAAACAAACGGAGATCGGGAGACTGAAAACAACAACAACGATATAAAAGGCAGGATTTACAAAGACGGATCTTCACATGGTTATGGAGATAGGAATGACTCCTTACATTCAACCAGCCTCGAACAAACGCCCTACATAATAAAGTATAAAGCGATATATTACGTTGCAAAAGTTGGAGCTTTTTTCGGCGATGAAATATTCTATATGACATTCTTTCCGTTTTGGCTATGGAACGTTGACAGTCTCGTTGGCAGACAGACGATCTTCGTGTGGTGTTTGGTGATGTATTTTGGACAAGCGACCAAGGACTACCTCCGATGGCCCCGACCACCTTCGCCTCCGGTTTTCCGACTGGAAACCACCCATTTGCAGGAATATTCAATGCCGTCTACCCACGCAATGGCGGGGACTGCAATCCCGACTGTGTTGGTCTACGGGCTCTGTACTCGTTACGAGGTAAGAAATCTGCATGTGTGATGTTTTATAACGCACGATGTACACTATGTGGAGAGGAGAGCGTTGTGTTAAAGCGCAGGCGAAAGTACGGGTGGACTCGAGCGCTGGGGGTGGGGGGTGGGGGGTGGGGGGTGGGGGGTGATGGATTGTGGTGCTGATTATTGGGGAGTGGGATGCGGTGGAGTAGAGAGGTGGCCATGAGTAGTGTCGTCAAATCTCGGAAGTGCAAGATGTATAATTGTATTCAACAAGCGAGTGTGTTATTCGGTTTTGAGATAGAGATCATCAGATATGCTATACGCTCATTGGAAGCTACTGGAGTGACATATCTGGGTCATGGAGACGCGGGATGGGTACGGAGGGGGGAGAGCGATATTCACTAAAAAACACTATGCTATTTATAACGGGTGTTGGGGTCGGAGTTGTTCGGATTGACATCAAGAGCCTATTAAACGTTAAACAATCAACATTAGAACAATTTACACGTTTACATTTCCTGACGATATCATTTGGAGCGTAGAGCAGCCTTATAGTCAAATCACGTCCTCATGCAACTGATTGTGTACTGAACCGAGCCGACTCACACGCCAAGTGTCGACAGTGACTTCATTGTGTACACATTGTGTCTGGTCATACCGGTCCATATTAGTTGTCTCTTCTAACTAAATCACACCTTCGGTTTAGAACAATAACAACAACAGCAACAATAATAATGACAACAATGATAGTATTAAAAGTGAAGTGGATTTCTGTAAAGAAAATACGAAAAAACTGACAGCACAATGATATGATTTTGACAATATTCCTGCTACTACTACTACTACTACTACTTCAACGAGGGCTGGCAAATGTTATGGTCGCACACGGGAGGCACGAAGGTCGCCATCCTGTGTAAAGGCCCCATAAGTAATCAACAAGGACCACACCCTTTGCATCCCAGAATACAGTGGCCATAACTTTCTTCACTGATCTTGAAGACTTGAATTGCTTTGGTGCCGAGAAGTGGAATGGTGCCATTCCATGGATTGACGTTTTGACTCGGGATCACAGTGGTAGACCCATGTTTCATTACCCGTTACAAATCTCTTGTTGAATTTGACGAATTCCTCCCCAATCTGGCAATGTCAATTCTGTTTCCCTAAGATCGTAATTTAGAAACATTGGCACCCAACGAACAGATATCTTATTTATCTGTAAATGTTCATTAATAATAGTTTCAATGGATCCATGGCTTAGACCCTACGGTGTATGTTTTTCTATCTCCTTGAATGAATCTTCATTGATGGAAGTTGAGGGACGTTGAGACCTAGGGTCAACATCAAGGCTTGTTCTCCCAGCCATAAGCATAGCTGTCCAACGTTTATCAGTGGACTAGCTAGGGCACTTATCCCCATACACTTGTGACATGCGGTCATAAATTTCTAGGGGAGTCAAAAACTCCACTTCTGTGACCATTTGGACCCGGATCACATTCAACTGGCTCTCACTAGTATACAAACGGCCTCAACAGACCAAATACACTTGCAATGAACTACTCAAACAATGTACTACATTGACTACTTCACTTTGTTGTGGCCCATAGTTGAAAGTTAGTCAGGCTTAGAACCCTTTGACCAGCCCGGTCTTCTACGGAGCCACAATTGGCTGTGCAGAGTTGCTTCCCTTGGTCACGTGATAAACCAAGGGTTCGAATCCCGGTTTAGCCCGATTATGTTTCTAGGTTATCAGCACCATACCCGTGCTCGTGGGTACACATCTGAGACATGCATCGCTTCGGGCTTTCTACCCACATTATAACTGGAATACTGTTCAAAGGCGTTCAATCCAGCTCATTCACTCTCGACAGGAAGACCTCGATACTGCTACAATGAAATTGCATCGCAATGCTCGGTTACCATGACGTCTCTCTCAAATGACATCACTATTCTCTCTGCAATTGAAGCTGGTAAGGCACACTATTAACACTCAAGACACAACTTATTACTGTTTACAAACATGGATGATAAATAGACACCCTCGTGTCTCCAAGCTTAAATATTTTATGTGAATACCCGTTGATAGATTGGTTGGGTAGTTGTTTTAAACCGCACTCAGCGATATTTGATCTATATGACGGCGGTCTTTAAATAATCGAAAATCAATCTAGCGATTGATATCATGAGCATCGATCCACGCAATTGGGATCGATGACATGCTTCAACGTCCTATTCTACCCCGGATCTTCAAGGGTCTCGTTAAGTCAAAATAATCTCGGCAGGCCTCGGATATTTGTAAATTTTATCACCTCGCCTTGATATTTGACATCGGAAGACCTCTGCATGTCACAGCAAATGGCAAGTCTGAGCATTACTGGTCGTGATGGTACATCTGTATATCATATATCATGGTGGTGGTACTGATGATGATGATGATGATGATGATGATGATGATGACTGTTCTACATGTGTTGTATGTTCTGATCACCACCCTGTACTGGCTGGTCATGACAAATAGTTGATGATGATGATGATGATGATGATGATGATGATAGAATATGCTTATCAATAATGCTACTATAGTATTTGATGAACAAAAGAAGTAACTCTGGCGGAAGATAACTAGATATTGTCATCCACACGCCTTTAATCTCGCGAGACATAGCGGTTTGAAAGAGACGGAAATGTGTGTCTGTTACACATCATTGCGTCTCGCCACAGGCAAACAAGTTTTATCTGTAGACAGCCCAGCTTGACACAGGAGAGAAGTCCCGCCTTACGTGACAATACTGGACACATACACAAACACCAGGAAACCGATGTAAACCACAACTGCTTAAAAAACACGTACTTCGTTCCATAATATTAATTATTTGTTTTGTTTATTAGTTTCCCTTTTGCATCGTCTCGTGAATTTGAAACGTGACAATTCTGGATGAATATGTTTATCAGCTGTTACGTTGAATAGACCGTCGAACTTTGAGTATACACCACTCAAAATAATTTAAAGAACATTTGACATTGCAGATTAATTATAATCATAGATTGAAAATAGGCTGTCCCTTAACTTGTTTTGAGTAGTATAGAAGCTTATTAATTTTAAAGGTCGCACTTTGAGTTATCTGTCCCGCGTTTGATGCCGAGTTCTAATATAGGGCTAGGCTATGTTTAAACTAGACTAACGCTAGTCTCTTATTTTATAATATCTTATTTTCCTTGAAAGAAACAATAATTACAATTACATTGAAAAGGAGCCCCAGTGAAACGTGGGAGAGCCTAGGGAAGGGTAGACTTAATTTATTAAGGACTATAGCATTACAGCAAGGCCTGGGGGTAGGAAAATAAAAATGTGGTTGGGACTGAGACAGACTGTGTTTAATTATACTGTCTCCTCTAGTCTTGCACCATGACCGTTGAATATATTTATTTCATGGAAAAAAAACCAATCTAGATACAGTAAACTACGGTTATAACGAACACGCTTATAACAAACTGACGGATATAACGAACTTACTTTTTTGGTCCAGACTATTTGCTGTAGTTATGCTGTATATATGCTTATAACGAACTACGGTTATAACGAACTAAAATTAGCAGTCCCTTTAAGTTCGTTATAACCGTAGTTTACTGTATGTATACAAAAGCAAGTCTAGCAAGCTCTAGCAAGCTCTATTCCACATGAGTGAGTGAGTGAGTATGGTTTTACGCCGCTTTTAGCAATATTCCAGCAATATCACGGCGGGGGACACCAGAAATGGGCTTCACACATTGTACCCATGTCGGGAATCGAACCCGGGGCTTCGGCGTGACGAGCGAACGCTTTAACCACTAGGCTACCCGACTGCCCCTATTCCACATGAAATCAGATCAGGAATATTATTTGTTTAATTTTAGAGTCGAGAAGGGTATTGTGTAATGTAAGATTTCATAGACTTGCTGTTAGTCTATGTCTCCTGTGTAGACACTCATGTGAATATTTCATCAGTTTATGATGCAATACGTCCCGATATATTTCCACCTGGCCAGGACCAAATTGCCTGTCAGGCCACTCCACGATTTATGAAGGGATGGAGTGTTTTATTGACATCGATAGTACCTTGCAAATATTAGCTTTCGTTGGCTTCTTGTGGATATATTGCTATGTCATGGTCGCCGAACTACACTAACATGTATTTCGCAATTGTCTATGCTTCGCTGTCGACAAAAAGGAAAGACAAGCCGTCTCATTCTCGAGATTGTGAAGGGGCCGTCTCAAAGATATTTCACCTTTTTTTATAGTTATATTTGTCACAGAGAAATTTTATTTCTTCTTCCTGGAACTTGTTTTAGAATAATCATTATCGAATATTGGCTCGGTTTGCGATGAATTTGTTAATCGTGATCTTTCTTTCACTGTACTCCTTATATAGTATTTGTTGATAAAATCATTATCTGATTCCTCAAATACGTAACCCAGTTTACACTGTCGCGTTAAAAACTAATACTGCTGACCCGGTGAAAATTAATATCCACCAAACACCACACAAGACTTTTCCCCCGTCGCGTATGTACCTACAGTTTGACACGACCGCCTCCGTGGTCTTGTGGTAGAGCGTCCGCCCGGAGAGCGGAAGGTCCGGGGTTCGATCCCCGGCCGCGTCATACCAAAAGACGTTAAAAGATGGTACTTGTTGTTACCCTGTCTGGCGCTCGGCATTAAGGGGCTAAAACAAGGACTGGTCGGCTCGGAGTCTGAGTGGGGTATTCATGTTAAACTGCGGCATGGTATCTCAGTGAGCTAGCACTATAAATCGGCATCAGTCCGGACTAGTACAAGCAGCCACACAAACACACACACGTACATGCACGTCGCTATATAAGTGCAATAATCTTGGACGCGACGTTAAACCCCATTTCACCTCACCTCACCTTACAGTTTGACACAAACCCTTGTGTTCAAAACCGGTAGCAAACTGTTGTTTGTGTTTGTTGTTTACCGCCGCACTCAGTAATTTTCCAGCTATTTGACGGCGGTCTGTAAATAAT